GGAAACCGGAGTACCCGGAGGAAACCTACGCAGGCACGGGGAGAACATGCAAACTCCACTCAGAAAGGCCCTGGTCCGGCCGGGATTCGAACCCAGGACCTTCTTGCTGAGAGGCGAGAGTGCTATCCACTCAGCCACCGTGCCGCCCAGAGAGAGAGAGGAGAGAGGGGGAGAGGAGAGAGGCGAGAGAGAGAAAGGAGAGACGAGAGGGGGAGAAGCGAGAGAGAGAGAGGGAGGGGGAGAGGAGAGAGGCGAGAGAGAGAGAGAGAGAGGAGAGAGGAGGGAGGAGGGAGGGGTAGAGACAAAAAAAGAGGGAGATGATGTCCTAAAATAAATCTTGAGCGGTCTCACCCACACGCCAGGCACAGTATGTTTGTTGATTTAAGCTCAAGAGCCATAGTTGAACAGCCAGATTCAAGGTGGCAGAAATCAGAATTCACCCACAAACCAGAGCAGCACACACACCAGCCAATTATTCACTGTTTACTATGACCACGGAATGTGTGAGAAACGACACACGGCTCATATGCACACACCACGAGCCGAGCGAGACGACAGACGGACCAGAAATCAGGCAGAACTTCGGGAGTGATGATTTTACACAACTGCGTGAAACCAACCTATCAATCTTTCAATGTATTTGTGTATAACCCTAAATCACAAACAGCATGATGATGTTGTTGATTCGCCAACAACAGATCAGAGAATCAAACAGCTCAAAAAAATTTTTGGTCACGGCGCAGGCAAGCTGCCAGCAGCCTGTTGCATCGCGCTCCTCCTCTTAGTCTGCTGGAACAGCAGCATCACAGAGAGGGACAGGAAGAAGCTGGACAAGGTCATCAGGAAGTCCAGCTCAGTCCTGGGCTGTTCCCTGGACACAGTGCAGCAGGTGGGGGACAGGAGGGTCCTGAGCAAACTAACATCTATGCTGGACCATGACTGTCACCCCCTGCAGGACACTCTCTCTGCTCTGGAGAGCAGTTTCAGTGACAGACTAATTCACCCTCGCTGTGTGAAGGAGAGGTTCCGTAGGTCTTTCCTTCCTGCTGCTGTCAGACTGTACAATAAGAACTGCTGAGCCTGTAAATTTCATTCATCTGTAACTAAGTAAATTCTTAAATCATGTGCAATGTGCAACTTCAGAATGTCACAGAACAATGTCACTTTACCTTATGTCACTTTACTTATATACTTTTTATCCTGCACTATTTAACTGTACAGTATATAACTGCACTACTACATATATATTTTGACTGGTATTGAAGCGTTTTCAGCATCTACAGCTAGTTATGTTAGCTAAGAAACATAGCTAGTACTTATTTGTATATATTGTGTGTGCTCCCTGTGTGCTCTTACTACTGTCCTATATGTGCGCTGCAACAACGAAATTTCCCCACTGTGGGACGAATAAAGGAATTCTTATCTTATCTTAAACACAGGAGATACTATAATGACAAACACATGGGGTGACCACTGTCCATGAATGTAAAAGTCGATAAATGTCCTGGATCATCAAAAAGCAATGACTATGTACTGACTATGGCTGATGAGCTGTTTACGACTGCTCTGCCGTTAGCCACAAGAGGGCGCCCACATACATACATACATACATTGGCCTACATACATACATACATACATACATACATGCATACTGTAGGTCTACAAACATACATACATTGGCCTACATACATACATACATAGGTCTACATACATACATACATACATACATACATACATTAAGACAGTACACAGAACAGTATACAAACACTAGTCCGCATCATTGTCCAACAGCTGCTAAATGTAACATTAAATTGTTGTTGACAGAAGTAAGAAAAGTCAAATGTATCTTTAGAGACCGGAAAACAAATGTGATGCTTTTCTCTAAAATCATGTATTTGGTCCCGGGCGATTCACATCTCGTTGCCATTTCTCTGTTCAAATTTGCATTTAAGAGCTGGTATTAGAATTCAAGGACAACTAAACACCAAATCAACTTTTTTTAACTCACAAACTGAATAAATATGTTTCTTATAGTGCTCTCTACATGTCCTGGTCATTTTTTTGACATTATAGTGCAAATTAGTTAAAATCTCACTTTTGAGCCTAAAAATTCCAAATGTTCATGGGGGCGGAGTAAGGCTGGGCACAGATGTTTAGTCGTCCTTTAAAGTTTGAGCTGGGGATGAGAAAAGGGTTGCAGCGGGACGAAATACCAAGACTGTTGAGTCCAGGTTCTCAACAGCCGACTCCAAATGCATAAAATGAACTATAGTCAAGGTAAGGACTGGTCTAGTACTTCTACTCATGAACTGTTTGAAGCACTAAATGTTTCCATGGCAACATTCAACACAAATTCCCAACAACAGCCTCGTAAAGTTAAAACAGGCGAAATACCTCCGGGTAATGTCTACAACACAAGGCAACAAATGCGATCCGATTTCCCAAAAATGACTGGGTCCAAATAGACATTCAACAACATTCATTTTTGTGTAGCCCTAAATCACAACAGTAGCTATCTCGGAGGACTTTACAAAGCTGTCGATTCACAAACGCAGATCAGAGAATCAAACAGTCGAAACACAGGAAATGCAATGATAGAAAACACATAGAGCCATTGGTCCATAAGGAGTTAAATGTCCATAAATATCTATAAATGTTGAATGTCAAATGGCCTGGATCATCACCACAACTCTCAAAGCCCAAAGTGACAAAAGGAGAATAACCCATAATACACTGCTTTTTTTACAATTAAAGATAATGCAATTTTTCTTTGGCAAGGAGTACAGAGGACCCTTGTTTATCGCTGGGGTTACATTCTAAAAAAATAACCTGCAATGTATACAATTCTCCATAACCTGGCACCCCCACCACTAAATGTATTTGTGAGAAGGTGTGAGGAGGTTGTGCTCAGATCCACCAGAGCCACATCGAGAGGATCCTCATTTGGACAGAACTGCTTCGAAGGCTCCTATGTGTTTGTTATTATTCTATTTCCCATGTTCAAACTGTTTGGATCTGAAGTTGGGGAATCAACAACTTAGGAGAGTCCTGAGAAACAGCTGCAGTGGAAGACTGAGACACCCTCAAGGAAAGAATGAGCAGGGCCTTCATCCTCACCACTGTCAGACTGTACAATAAGACCTGCACTGGGACTGAAAAACTCAGCTCACTTTATTTATTGAACATAATATATCATCTACAAAAGAGACTATAGTTTTAACATTTTAAATATGTTTGCACACTTTCTGTCTGAGTGATTCTATCAACAGTACAGACCAAAAGTTTCTCATTCAAAGAGGTTTTTTTAGAGATTCAAGAGGACCTGAAATGGTCTGAGTTCCCACAGATGCTTAGCACTTGTTGGCCCTTTCGCCTTCACTCTGTGGTCCAGCCCCAAAACCATCTGGATTGGGTTCAGGTCCAAAACCATCTTGATTGGGTTCAGGTCCGGACTGTGGAGGCCGAGTCATGTGGCCCAGCACCATCACTCTCCTTATTAGTCAAACAGCCCTTACACAGCCTGGTGTGGATCTACAGTCAATAGTCATGGAAAGAAAGGGCACTCATTGAATGAGAAAGTGTGTCCAAACTTATGGTCTGTAGTGTATGCCAAAAGTGACTTGTACATTTCTCCATTGTGGGATCAATAAAGTTTATCTTATCTTATCTTGTCTTTTTTTAGGACTATACACAAATAAATTGCCTTTGAACCACGGTGCACAAGAGCCAAAAAAGTTCACTTCTGGCAGCCTCATGTTTTAAAAGTAGTTAAATGATGTTATTGGAGAATACACACAATGCATGAGACGCACAACAAAAATTTAGCGAAACAGCGAGGCCACGAAAAGAGGAGCCGCATTATCGTGAGGGACTAAAGAAAGCTTGCAATTATTATACATATTTACTGAGATTGAGATGAAGCTGAGGATCGGAGCCTGAATCACAGCAGTGTCTTTGTGAACCGCTGCTATTGCCCCAGGTTTGTACTGTATAAGTGTGGACATAAAAATAACTTGAAAACACTAAGTCACGTGACATCACAGGGCTATGGCTGTAAACATCACCAGCAGTTGGACTTGCTCTCCAACTTGTGACTCAACCAAAAACATGTGCTTCCCGCAACTCAGTCAAGATCAGAAAAACAAACAAATTGAAGCTTATTCTGGTCATGAAGAATCTTTGCTGGTTTTGATTGTACGAGGCGTCAGATTCACAGCAAGAAGGCCCTGGGTTCGATTCTACCTCCAGACGTGGGCCTTTCTGTGTGGAGTTTGCATGTTCTCCCTGTGTCTGCATAGGTTTCCTTCATAGACTGTATATAGATGGACAATGCCGTCTCAATGAAGCCCAATAGGGAAGAGCTCATTATGAAGTCTCTGGCTCCTAATGATCTAACTCTGTAACCGTTTGTGGGAGATGGGAGACCTCTGGGAACACCAGGTGCCACAGTGGGATGACTGCGGCTGTAAAGTGCTAGGCAAGATGCTTCACCCACATTGCCTAGAATGAGTCTGGTCTGTGTATGTGTGTGTGTGTGTGTGTGTGTGTGTGTGTGTGTGTGTGTGTGTGTGTGTGTGAATGGTTGGTGTTGGTGGGAGGGGCTGACGGCACTTACTGGTTCTGTCAGTGTGCCCCAGGGCAGCTGCGGCTACTGTGGCTACTTTATCACCAGCGTGTATGGAGTGAAAGAAATACGACATGTGAAGCGTCTTTGAGTGTCCTGAAAAGCGCTATATAAATCTGATGCATTATTATTATTATAAAACTTGTCAAAGTCAAAACAGAGCATAGAGGAACCAAATAATTTTAGGGAAAACTTCCAGGAACTCAGCAGCAATAAACCAGACCCCGCCAAATCTTGTACTTGAGTGTTCTGCCCCTTACCTCCAATGATGGGCTGTCTTGTCTCTCTTCCCCTGCGGCCTCCTCCTTCGAGCCTGGGTACATTTAGGGTACATTACCATCCACTTAGGTGGATGGTAATGTACCCTATTTCTGCCATGGCAAACCCCGAGCAGTTGGGGGTAACCAGGAGAGTCAGAGGTGATAGAGGCTGAACATTCCTAATATATCCTAAAATAAAGAATAACCGCCTAATTTTCCAGTCATAATAACTTTACAAATGAAAACTCGACAGTAGTAGTTTGAATGAACGACAGGAGCGCACGTGCTAACATTGACAACAAGCTAGCACAAAGTTTAGTTTTCCTGTTTAAGTTTAGCAGGGAAATAATGTCAAAATACTAACCTACAATTATGATCTGGAGATATTGAACTATTTTTTACACTCAGGAGCCCTCCTTACCTTTGTAATAACAGACAATATATGGTAATGTAATTTAACGACTTTTTAGTATTATACTAGTGCGCATGTGCGTTACCTCGTGACCTATGTTTCGCGGGTTTTGGTACTCTATAAATAAACGAGGACCTAACTTTTCGAGGGAATCTCCAATTTGCCTCTTTCTGTCGCTGTCATTCCTCTCCCGTTTAATAACAAAGAATTGCAGCGTTCTGTAGCTACGGAGGGGTTTGTAGTTAGTTCATGTAAGACGGGCGCCCTCTGCTGGCGGATGGACACATTACATCCTTACAATAAATGCACCTAAGGTTTAGACATGTATCTATTATGGGTTTAGAGTATATACTTACATGACCTAAAATGTATTTTGTATAGTATTCCGTTACTTTGGAAAATAGTACCTGTATCCCAAATACTTTTATTGATACTTTTAACTATCATTTTTGTATGCTTTATATTTATTGTAAATCAATGTTTATTTATGAAACTTATAAAGTACATTTCAAAATATTTAAAACCACAACCTCAATAAATGTTTAAATAAATAAAACATGTTCTGTAATGATTCGATTATTTTGTGTTTATTTTTGTAAAACATGTCAAAGTGCTTCAACAGCTGCATTTAACAACCAGAACAAACAGAATCTTCATTTCAAGAATAACCAATGTTTTCTTTTTTTTAAATGATGTATTCCCGTGATTTTCAGAAAATAACTGTATTTTAATTAGTAGACTTTTTAGTAGTAACTGTAACGGAATTCAGTTACTCAGACAGAGTATTCTGAATACATTGAAACACTACATGCACTAATACAAATAATGAACCAGTTTGAACCATAGAAGAATATTAGGAGTATTCCCCCAGGTAACCCTAGGGGGTTCATGCTGTAAACATGAATGAAGGTTCCCCGTGAATGAAGGCATTAAATGGTCGTTACTGTTTATTTATAATAATCTTAAATGATAAATTCTGTTTTATGTGCACAATCTGAGTGCTATTTTCTCCCTTCTGCTGTGATGTGTGCCACAGTGACAAAGGGTTATCTTATTTTATGACACTGGATTATCTGACTCCTACTATGATATCTGGCGTCACAAAGAAAATATCTTAATATCAAGACCAGGATCACATAGCGCGAAAAACCTCGGATTTTAAAAGCCCAAAATGTGACACAAGTAGTTACTGAGCTAGAGGTGTTTACTTTTCAATAGGAGCCAGAGCGAGTTGGAGCAAAACTTTGTCCATGAGCACTTCCCCAATAGGCTTCATTGAGCTAGTGGGTTAGCATTGTCCATCTATATACAGTCTCATCTCATCGTACCGCCTGGTCCCATCTGGAGCGGGAGCAGAAGCTGACGTTGCTTTCTCTGACCATAGACACAGCGGGAAAGAGGTACAGCAGCGCCCCCTGTAGACCACCACGACACTGCGTCCGGGAACTGTCAAATCCAGGTTAAAAACTGTTTTGTTTAGCTGTGCATACAAGGATTGTGTTTTCAGTCTTTTTAATGTACAGTGATTTAATAAATAAATAAATAAAACATTTGAATGATTTCCGTTCTTTTGTTGTTTCCTTTCTTGTTTTGACAAGCACTTTGTATATGAACTATGCTATACACATAAACTTAACTTGCCTTACCTTTGAAGGCGTAGTTGAAACCATTTTAACCTGGAGCGTGTCATGTCCTCAATGATTTTTGGTCACTATCAAAAGCCAAAAACAGTTAACAAGAAGAGTGAGACTACATGGATGAGTGAATGGAATTTTATATCTACTACCTCTCCGAAAACCTGATCAGGGCAATCAGTAATAATTTGTACTAATCGATCACTATAGGTTAGTCTTTGAAAAGGCACCGCTGAGATTCGAACTCAGGATCTCCTGTTTACTAGACAGGCGCTTTAACCAACTAAGCCACGGCACCGGTGACAATGCTGCGTTGGTAGACAGATCATTACCCAAACTAGAGTATGGATTGTGAGCAAAGTGTTCTATTATGGTATTAACTATAGACTGTAGTATATATTAATGTATATATTAATGAACAGGGAAGTGCTCCTGGATGAAATTTTGCTCCCATTGACTTGCATACGGTTCGAGGCTAACGCGATCTGAACAAATGCCCATATGAGCTTTTTTTTTTTTTTTTTTACACAGCAGATTCAAAAAAGATAATATATTGTTTATTTATAATTATTTTTGTTTATGTTTACTGACAATGTATAATGCATTTCAGTGTGTGTTTTGTATCGAATATTTACACACTAAAGTAAATTCAGACGCTAGGTTACAACTATTTGATTGACGGAGCTCTTGTCCAATGGGGGTCGAGTGGGAGGGCTCGCGCTTGTGTTTCCGGAACTAAAGTTCATAAACTCTGCAAACACGTGCGAAAGGAAACTGGCGCATGTAGCTTACCGCAGTCTTCTAGTTCTCGTCCAAAGCAGGTCAGGAGTTTCACACTATTTGAAGCATTCCTCCCTGTTATTATTATTTACCAGTTAAATCCAAAAAACATACTGGCGCTAACTTAGCAGCTTTGCTAATGCGAGCGTGCACTGTGGTTCTAAATCATTGCAGCATATATTTTGCTTTCTTTTAGGGCTTCGTTAAAAGTGTGGTCGAGCAAAAAGTCTGTTGAAGCTTTCATTTGCAAACAGCCGAGATTCAGCAGCACGTTTGGTTTTAAAGCCCGTTTGTAAGTGACACAACATTCAAGCTGATATTTACGTTTTTTTATTTAACATTTGTTTACAATCCATAGTGTGGCTCTGATGGATGATTCAGAACCAGCAGCTGTCTCTGGGGCCCATGTGGGAGAAAAGAGAAGTTTCCCAGAAGATGACGATACAAAGGCTCAATCAAAAAGACCCAAAGTCCAACCTGAGGCGGAGGAGGCTGAGGCTGGGGATGGAGATGGGGACGAGCGGGGTGATGGTGATGGGGAGGAGGGGGGTGATGGAGGATTTGCTGAAATGATGAAGCATGGACTGACAGAGTTGGACGTGGGCATCACCAAATATGTCAGTGAACATGAAGGCTTCTCTGGAATCCTAAAGGAAAGGTACGCTTCTCTTTTTCTCTTAGATTTGAAAGATCATTTCAAAATCAACGCATACAACTCTATCAAGGTGTCAGACTGCTGTATGATTCTGTGGAACCTGCAGCTGCTCAAGGCATTTAAGTTACACAACCACTTCCCTTTTTCCTTGTAGTTCATAACATTTAGTTATTCAGGCACTGTGTCCCAGAGCCTCATGCTGCTGACGTACAGATGTAAACATACTGCTGCTGACGTACAGATGTAAACATACTGCTGCTAACGTACAGATGTAAACATACTGCTGCTAACGTACAGATGTAAACATACTGCTGCTAACATGTACAGATGCTATCATATAACTACACTTGCACTAGAATACACAGTACTTTATACTTGCCTATTATTTTGCCAAATATAAAACTTTCACACTTTTTATATTATCATTTTCAAGATAGAGACTTTATATTTAATATTGATGCTAGAGTTGGAGATTTTGTTTTTATTTTAATTAGTATAGCTCAGTAAGAATTCTATGGATATGCTAACGTTCTCCAGTTGTGCAAAAATTCTGACTCGGGGTTGTCACGGTAATCAATGTAAAGGCGGTAACCTCTGCTAAACACGGCGATAACGATAGCTACCTCAATTTCTCAGTGGGTTACAACGCAGACCTGGGTCCGTGTGACAACTGACAAAGCTGTTATGAGAGCAATAGTACTGATTTTGTAACAATTATTTTTTATATAGTTATTGTGATATTACCGTTTCATTTTATTATAATTTTTGGTCCTACTGCCCAACCCTTGTTAACTGTTTGTCGACATTTAGTCTCTTGGTGACGGAGACAACATTCTTGTTAACTATATATATTTTTTTGTATTTGTAGATATTCTGATTTTGTGGTCCATGAAATCAACAAAGAAGGCAAGATTGTACATTTAGACGATCTATCCGTTCCTCCAGACGTCGAGGTAAAAAGGTGAAAACCAGGATTTGTTTCACAAATGTCATAATATGGCTGAATATTGTAGGAAACTAAAGAAATACCGGAGCAGCCAGATGGAGTCGACGTGTTGACGGAGGAACAGAAATCCAAGCTTGGAGAGTTGCAACTGTTCAAGAACAAAGAGGATGACGTTTCCATAGAAGTGAGTGTGACCCGTTTGTTAGACTCGATATGACTGCGTTTATTCATTCACACGAGGACTTCACTTCAGGTGCTGGAAGACACAAAAGAAAAACGAACCCAGATCCATAAAGCTGTCAAGACTCAGTTCCCGGGGCTGGAGACAAAGACTGAAGATCGGGACGGACGCAAGTTCATCGTGGCGTACCATGCTGCCGGCAAGAAGGCGCTAGCAGGTGTTGCATCAAGGCCGTCCATAGCTTGTTTATAGATGGACAATGCTAACATAGACTGTATACAGATGGACAATGCTAACACAGACTGTATACAGATGGACAATGCTAACATAGACTGTATATAGATGGACAATGCTAACAAATGCTCAATGAAGGCTTCAAGCTCACTAACCGTCTGTCACTCACCATTTTGGGCTGAAAAATCTGTAGTTTAGCGCCCTCTAGGATCCTGGTATGTATATTTTGATAGGCTTTGATTGGTCAAACTTTATATACTCTTATCTGGATTTACAGATGCTTTCATTCACAAGAGAAACTCCAGATTGGCTTAGCAATGAAGCTAACGCCATCGGAACAATTGTGCATATAAGGAAATTAGCTCCAGCTAGCTTTGGCTTCGTCCGCATTAAGGCTAATACTATGGTGATGTCACACTCAGTCAGTCCTCATATATACAGTCTAAACGTGCATGGGCTTATGTGCAATGATGCATATATCATATTTAATCATTTTTTACATACTACAACTTCCGCCTGAATGTCATCCACTCAGACGCTGCTCCCTCGTCACCACAGTCCTGCACAGAGACCACATCGCACAATGCTTAGTTTTGACATCATACCAAAGCATGCAGAACATTTCCATCCACATGCTATACAAGTTTAAACTATACAAGTAACAATACTGTGTCCTCCCTTTGCTCTATTCTGGGGATTGAAGTCAAAGGGGCAACAGGTAAGATTAAAATTGCACTTAACGAACACTTTTAGTTGCTATAGAGACCTAGCCTGGTCGTACCACACCATAGTACATATTACATGTCGTGCTAAGGTCTGGAGGTGCTCCATTGACTGCGTTAACAGGTGGGAGGGGTTAACTCCTTTTGCAGATTGAAACGATTGGATCGGAGTTTACCGTGACGTATGTAATGCGCCGGAGTGAGTCGTTGGCTAGGCTATAGGCTAAATGCTAAAAGCTATCTCCTTTGCCGCAAACGAAGCCCGTGGGGAGCAGCGCCATAATCTTTGCCAGCGATTACATTTGCTAAACATTCCTCTTGCTCCGGCTTTAATTTCTTGATAGAACCAGACCGGAATACTTTACTATCACATTTTTTGCCATTGCCAAACTACAACCTGCCCGTTCGACACAAATTCTTGACGTCACCCACAACTAACTGCAAGACCCGCCTCCCGCGCTCGCTGATTGGTCGGATGGAATTCAACTGATGTAATCGTCAACACAGGGACCAGACCCAGACGTTACATGCAGTGAAATGATAATTGAGCGGAGTGTACGGATGGATAAGGCCAAGCTAATAGAGACCATGACTACTTAAATATTTAATGCGCCCAGTGGTCCCTTGCTTATTGCAGTTCACATTTCGCGGCTTCACTGTTTTCTTATGGTCTTCTCGTAGTCCTCAGTCCTCCTGCTCCTCAGTGTCCCGTCAAAGCCGTGCATACACTGTAAAATACAGCTGCAGCAGCGCTCAGACCTTCAACCAACAGCTTTGACCTCTCTGGTCTCTCTCACTTCAGCAGTCGTGAGTTCAGGTGGTTAGAAAAGGGTACACAGTGTGTTTGAGGGATTTACAACCTTAAAACATTCAGCTACTACTCTGTGGATTTTTGAGTTTGCTTTTTTGTTATTTTCAGAACGTAACCCCAACACTATATGAGGGACCACTGCACAACTCTTAATGAACAAGCAATAAACTGAGATCTCTTTTTAAACAGCACCAAGAAAACACTTCTGGCCCAAAAATCGTGGAAGCTTCTGTCACTTTGTTCTGTACAAGGAAAACAAGGACACTATGGATGCCATCAATTTGCTTTCAAAGTTTATCAGGTTCAAAGCCTTTTTAGTTGTATATTAAAAGGCCAAAGTGGTTTTTAACATATCTCTCTCTAGGCTCAAGCCAAATCTATTCTCATACATGGGAACCAAGGACAAGAGGGCCATCACGGTGCAAGAGATCGCCGTGCTCAAGTGAGTGGCTTTTTCCGTTTTTTAAACATGATCTACACATTTACTTCACTTTTACATAAATGTAGATGTTGTGGAAGCGGTTCGGAAACTTCTGGAATCTCTTCTCAGGGTCACAGCAGAAAGACTGTCTCACCTCAACAAGTGCCTCATGAACCTCAAGCTCGGGAACTTCTGCTACAAAAATCACCCGCTGAAACTGGGAGAGCTGCAGGGAAACCACTTCTCCATAATCCTCAGGTCGGTCCGTACTCTTTATCGTTTACGCCGGTGCAACAGTCCCTCGCAGATTCTCTGCTTTTTGCAGCTTCCTTCGTATGCAACGTGTGTAAACTCAAACGTCATAAAACCGCTAGAATGACATGGCCTCGTTGGAAGGAAACTTTTTTTGTTTTTTGTGTCCACTGCTGTGATTTGTTCAGAAGGGGGAGAGGAGAGACCGGGGAGGGGGAGAGGAGAGACCGGGGAGGGGGAGAGACCGGGAGGGGGGAGGGGGGGAGAGACCGGGGAGGGGGAGAGACCGGGGAGGGGGAGAGAGAGACCGGGGAGGGGGAGAGAGGGGGAGGGGAGAGGACCGGGGAGGGGGAGAGGGGGGGGAGAGGAGAGACCGGGGAGGGGGAGAGGGAGAGACCGGGGAGGGGGAGAGGGAGAGACCGGGGAGGGGGAGTGGCAGAGAGGAGGGGGAGAGGAGAGACCGGGGAGGGGGAGAGGAGGGGGAGAGGAGAGACCGGGGAGGGGGAGAGGGAGAGACCGGGGAGGGGGAGAGGAGGGAGAGACCGGGGAGGGGGAGAGGGAGAGACCGGGGAGGGGGAGTGGCAGAGAGGACCGGGGGGAGAAGAAAACTTTAGTGGTGGTCCCTCCTGCCCCTCAGTGTCTTCTGCAGCTGTTTTTTTACAGTGTAGGCACGGCTTTTGACAGCTGCAGCAGCGCTCAGATCTACAACCATCAGGTTTGATATCTTCAGCAGTCGTGAGTTCAGGCGGTTAGAAAAGTGTATCAAATGTGTGTGAGGGTTTTAGATATATACAAATAGCTGCCATTTTCACTTATTGGAGGTTACTGTTAGAACGCAAACCCGTGAGGGACCACTGCAGTGATGCATTACACATTGTTTACCTCACCCCATTAATGTGAATGTGATGTTGTTGAGAGTTCAAAAAATGACTTTCGGTTTTACAGGAACATAACGGGGTCTGACGATCAGGTCAATCAGGCCATGACTTCTCTTCGACTGACAGGTTTCATTAACTACTACGGCATGCAGCGCTTCGGGACCACAGCTGTGCCCACATTTCAAGTCGGAAAGTAAGACACAGAAACGGCTTTTCATAATGTCTTACAATTTACTGATCGGGCGTTTTCATGTTTTAGGGCTATTTTGAAAAACGACTGGAAGGAAGTTGTGGATTTGATCCTTTTGCCGCGACCAGGAGGTAAACAAATCTGTGTAACGTAATTCTGGGGTTCTCATGCACTACTTTTACCAAGTGCTTCAACGCCACGGTTTACAGAAAAGCATCTATTTCACGGACTCCCAATAAATCAGTCCCGATTGACCGGCAGGGAGGGGCGCTCACATGAGGATTCAATATTTTTACTGAAAGCTTCAACAAAGAATATTTCACTCGCGTCTCACTGCTGACCGAAGCAGCTTTGACGGCGCATTTTCCAGAGTCACAGAGAACTAGGCACGTACGAAAGCCCCTACACCCACAGCAGACGGGTCATTCCTGCTGGTGCGTATCTCCCCCTAGTGCACAAGGCTGGAACTCCATTCATCTGCAACATCTAAGCTAACGGTTAACGTTAGCAGGATGTGCCAGGTCTGACATAATTTTAGTTTTTTGTCTCAGACAGGAAGACATTTTCACTTTTTTGATGCTGTTTATTATTCCTACAGCAAACAATTACATGAAGGTTAAAATTTGGGGCAGCATTAATGTAATTGGTGATATGGTGAGTGTTAGGGTGAGACACACCTCCTTTGGGACCAAATACCAAGATTTTAGTGAACGCAACAAATATTAAATGTTTCGTCCTGTTTCGGTTGTCCACCATACAACATGAAAACCTGCGGCTTACATTCTGGCAACCTACTTATGTTCAAAGTATATATTTTTTTAGAATGTGGCTTGTGCGGAAAATAAACAGGTCCCTCAAACCCCCCAAAAGTACGGTAGATATTTGAATTGCTGAAGGTAAATTTTGTTTTGTTTTTCAAAATCAGCGGAGAAGGAGTTCCTGGTTCGCTGCAGGGAGGAGTGGGCGAAGTCTCGGGACCCAGAGGCGGCCTTGAAAAAACTCCCCAACAAGCGCTGTGTGGAGGGCCAACTCCTGAGGGGCCTGTCCATGTACGGGAAGAAGAACATCGTGCAGGCGTTTGGGCTGGTGGGTTCTGAAAATGAGACGAGATGTTGATCGGTTTGGGATTATGTCGCGGACAGAAGACAGGCTGTAGACCCAGGACTGAGGCTGTAGACCCAGGACTGAGGCTGTAGACCCAGGACTGAGGCTGTAGACCCAGGACTGAGGCTGTAGACCCAGGACTGAGGCTGTAGACCCAGGACTGAGGCTGTAGACCCAGGACTGAGGCTGTAGACCCAGGACTGAAGGCTGTAGACCCAGGACTGAAGGCTGTAGACCCAGGACTGAAGGCTGTAGACCCAGGACTGAAGGCTGTAGACCCAGGACTGAAGGCTGTAGACCCAGGACTGAAGGCTGTAGACCCAGGACTGAAGGCTGTAGACCCAGGACTGAAGGCTGTAGACCCAGGACTGAAGGCTGTAGACCCAGGACTGAAGGCTGTAGACCCAGGACTGAAGGCTGTAGACCCAGGACTGAAGGCTGTAGACCCAGGACTGAAGGCTGTAGACCCAGGACTGAAGGCTGTAGACCCAGGACTACAGGACTGAAGGCCGTAGACCCAGGACTGAAGGCCGTAGACCCAGGATTGAAGGCTGTAGACCCAGGACTGAAGGCCGTAGACCCAGGACTGAAGGCCGTAGACCCAGGACTGAAGGCCGTAGACCCAGGACTGAAGGCCGTAGACCCAGGACTGAAGGCCGTAGACCCAGGACTGAAGGCCGTAGACCCAGGACTGAAGGCCGTAGACCCAGGACTGAAGGCCGTAGACCCAGGACTGAAGGCCGTAGACCCAGGACTGAAGGCCGTAGACCCAGGACTGAAGGCCGTAGACCCAGGACTGAAGGCCGTAGACCCAGGACTGAAGGCCGTAGATCCAGGGCTGTGTGTGTGTACGTAGGGGTTTTGGTAATGCAGCATATTTGCTTCTTTGGGTTCCTGGGTACATACATAAAAAAGTCTTCGCCATAACTTTTGATCTTTTTGGTGCACTTTTGAAATCGAGGGTGCTACTGGTTTAACTATTTTGTTTTTTTCTTTCAGATCCCACGTAACAACCGCCTCATGTACATCCACAGTTACCAGAGTCTGCTGTGGAATACCATGGTGAGCCGCAGGATTGAGGCGTTTGGATTCAAGCCAGTAGAGGGCGACCTGGTGCTCAGAGGAAGTGAGTGTTCAGAGTTAAAAATGGGTTTCTATTTGACTTAATGTATTTGTGTATAGCCCTAAGTCACAGCACCAGTCAAGATGGGAAAACAGCAGATCAGAGACTCAAGCTTGAAAACAGGAAATGCAGTGACAACAAACACATGAGAACCGTAAATGTTTTAGATCATCTTGCATTGGAAAGGAACGATTCAAGACCAACAAAAGCAGTGGAAGAAATGTGAGAAACCATGGGGAGAACCATATTGAGAGAGAGATCCGCTTCCATTATTGAACAGGCTGTAGATCCAGGACTGGGGTCTGTAGATCCAGGACTGAGGTCTGTAGATCCAGGACTGGGGTCTGTAGATCCAGGACTGAGGTCTGTAGATCCAGGACTGGGGTCTGTAGATCCAGGACTGGGGTCTGTAGATCCAGGACTGAGGTCTGTAGATCCAGGACTGGGGTCTGTAGATCCAGGACTGAGGTCTGTAGATCCAGGACTGGGGTCTGTAGATCCAGGACTGGGGTCTGTAGATCCAGGACTGAGGTCTGTAGATCCAGGACTGGGGTCTGTAGATCCAGGACTGAGGTCTGTAGATCCAGGACTGGGGTCTGTAGATCCAGGACTGGGGACTGTAGATCCAGGACTGGGGTCTGTAGATCCAGGACTGGGGTCTGTAGATCCAGGACTGGGGTCTGTAGATCCAGGACTGGGGTCTGTGTGTGCGTTTTGAAGTGACTAAACACCTGAAATTCTTTATTAAAAGTAATGGAGGACAATTATCTTTTGTGTTTTTATTTGTTTCTAGCCGCAGCTCACGTGTTGACCGCTGAAGAGGCCGCGACCCACTCCATACATGACATTGTGATGCCTCTGCCCGGGTTTGACGTCATCTACCCTTCACACCACGGTAACGACCACAACCAGGCAAAATACACCGCACTGTACTCGACATGGCATATTACAGAATTCACTGTTTTAAAGACCAACATGTGCTTTCTGCTCTTGTTCAAATGGGCATCTCTTTCATTTTATTTTATTTTTATGCATACCGTACTCTATTTTTACCAATTAACTTGTTTGAAAGCCAAAGCAATTTCCTAGTTTGTGACTTCTTGTTACTCACAGGACCGTAAAAAAAAAAATTGATTTTGATTTTCACTTTGCTTTGTTTATTGCAGAGGTCGGGAACCTTTTTAGCTGAGAGCCAAAAATGTATCATACTTCAAAATGTATTTCTGTCCCTGTGATATTTTAAAAACAAGATCAATGGATTTATAGTTCTCCCAAGCTATAGGTTCCAGATCTCTAGTTTCGTTCATCATGAGGCGCTTGCTAATGCTAATGGGTGTGGTGTGTTGCTGACAGTTGGCAGTGGCTACAAAGAGATGCTGGAGGCAGACGGACTGGACATCAACAACATGCGACACAAAATAAAGGACTACAGTCTGTCGGGGGCCTACAGACGGGTCGTCATCAGACCCACTGACGTCAGCTGGTCAGTTCCAACTCACTGTTTCAGATTCTTTGGTGTAATTCTGCTTTTTTACTGCGTGCTTCTCATTGTTTTGCGTGTATTAAACAACATTATATACAGCGTCAAAGAACCGCTGGTATAACATGACAGTTACTCTTATTTAAAGGCAGAAAACTTTCTTTGGCCTTGTTTGCACCGCTGTTATTAGTTCAGAGGACTCTCTCTCTCTGGTTTCTCCCTGGTCTCTTGCTGGTCTTTCTGGTCTCTCTGGTCCTACTCTCTCTGGTCTCACTCTCTCCAGTCTCTCTCTCTGGTCTCTCTGGACACGCTCTCTGGTCTCTCTGGTCCTACTCTCTCTGGTCTTACTCTCTCCAGTCTCTCTCTCTGGTCTCTCTGGACACGCTCTCTGGTCTCTCTCCCTCTGGTCTGTCTATCTGGTCTCTCACTCTGTTCTCTCCCTCAGTGCGATGTCCTCTGCAGCTGTATTTTACAATGTACGCATGGCTTTTGACAGCTGCAGCAGCACTCTTCTCTTCTAGTCAACATGTCTCTTGTGCTGTTTTCAAAGGAGTGTGATCCAGTACGACGATGCCAGAGTCTCTCTGGTGCACACGGACGTAGAGAAAATGGAGAACAAAGCCGCTCCAGTCTTTAACACCGGTAAATCCCAACGCTACTGTACTCGCTGGACTAATACACACCTGTAGATGAACTGCACCAGCTATTTATCTATTTAAGAAAATTATTTTTGTCCACTTATAGTCCTCACTTTGCAGCAGGTTATATTCATCAAATCAATGTTTAACATTTTAAGAATAATGGAAAATGTGTTTGTTTGCTTGTTTCTAAACTTTGTAAACGTGCTCATTGTAAATATGTGGGAAAGTATAATTGATTTTTATGTTTTTTATAAGAAAATTTGTAAAATCCAAGGAAGTAACAAAAAAATATATACGATTTTGAAAGTGGGTCTCACCCATTTTCAAGTCACGGTGAACTTTCTCAGTTTTACTGAAAAAATGTGTTTATTTGTGGTTAAATAATGGAGACTTTTTCATTGTGTTCTTTGAATGAAGTCTAAAGTCTAACTGAGACCGACGCGTGTCTTTGTCTCCAGAGGGAAAGTACCGAGCCCTGAGGATGGAGTTCTCGCTGCCGTCCTCCACTTACGCCACGATGGCCATCCGCGAAGTCCTCAAGCTGGACACCAGCATCAAGAAGCAGACCCAGCTCAACACCACCTGGTACAACTGAGACCAGAGACCACAGACCGGGACAAGGTTCTACAGAGACCGGGACCTGGTTCTACTGAGGCCGGAGACTGGGACCTGGTCTGAGACTCTCCCGCTGCCTGTGTCACTGTAATACTATGTGTATTACTATGTGTAATTATTGTTATGACTGTTAGATTTTAAACCCATTTTAACTTTTTAAAATGGCATTATTTTACTCCCTCTTCCCTCAGAGGGTCAGATTTATACTTTTTATTTTACCTGTGAATAAAACTCTGAGTCACAAGAAACGTTCGACTGTTCATGTGTTTGGGAAATATCTGCTTTTTTATATGTTATTGTGCTATGTTCATATCTATGGTCCGCCTCCCACTACCTCCCATACTAATGTGGCTCTGTATCATTTCAATAGATGCTAGAGCATCTCAACACAGGAGATTCAGGTTATGGGGGAAAAAAGATGGAGAAATGCAACATGTTAAAGCCATAGACTGTATTTAGATCATGATTTAGATGGACAATGCTAACATGCTAGCTCAATGAAGCTCAATAGAGAAGTGCTCATGGTTTTTATCCAACTTTCTCTGGCTCCTATTGACTCAAATTGAAAAGTAAACTCCTCGCTCAGAAACCGTTTACATCATACTCAGACCTAATTTGGGCTTTGAAAATCCCTGGTTTAGAGCTGTCCATGATCCTGTAATGCAAAAAGTTGTTTAAAGATCAACTAAACACCAGTGCCCAGCCTGACTCCGCCCACATGAACATTTGAAAATTCTCTCCAAAATGGGCGTTGCCTGGAGGACCAAGGGACAAGAAGGGGGGCTTGGTGTTGGGCGTGGCCTGGGCTTTGATTGACGGCTCTCTTGTATAAGTCAAAAATTGCTCTTATTGTGCAAAATGTAGTCCTGCCTTAGCCGTCTGTAAACTTCGGTACATTATTATTTCCCTGCATGTACAAAGTGATATTTGTACAATGGTGTGGTGAGACCAGGCTGTAGGCAAAATGTATAATTTGAGCACATTTTGACTGCCTTTAAACCAAAACTTGCCGATGGGACGAAGCAAAATGATCTTGTTTAAGAAAGGTGCAAGTGATGTCTTCCTTGGAATGAGAAACTAAAGCAACAGTTCTTGAAATGACACTAAACGGCTTTGTCCCGTTGGTGAATCTTGAATGTCCTCAAATTAAGATAAAAAAAACACTAAATTTCTGCATTTATTATTTAATATTTTCTTTTTGCAGCGTGGTGTTTGTAAATCCAGACATGAGCCGTATAAGGATTGACCAATCAGACGTCTTCATTCGTAGGGGACAGTAGGGACGGGCTGGGGGACATCTGTTTCCACGACAACAGGTTGACTGCTGCAGTGACCTCTGACCCTGTGGAAACAAGACACTTCCTGTTTACTATTACAACAGCCTCATGTCGACACTTCCACACTGGTATCCACTGGGACCATGCTGTTGCCATGCCAACCCCTCGCCCCGACAACATGTATTGTATGCCTGTCTGTGTCATTATGTTTGTTAACCCTTTTAATGTTTGCTCCTTGAAGAAAGAAATGTAATGTTTTGTTTTTTCATTTTCTTAGATGTAGGAGCATAACCAAAAAAATGTGTTTGTAAATTGTAAGTCTGATATTTTTCTAATGTCACTTATCTGTTTTTGCAAATGACCTTTTCATATCCACTTCATAACTTTTACAACTTGATCCAATCATAACACTACAGCCATACTTTGAAAACCTCACTTCATTTAACCTCACCAGCAGCACTGTGGCTGAGTGGTTAGCAGTAAGGTGCTGGATTTGAGTTCACATATTCTCCCTGCGCCTGCGTAGGTTTCCTCCGGGTGCTCCGGTTTCCCCCACCTCTCTATTCTTGCACTAGTGTATTACAGCTGTATCTACAAAAGATATATGCAAGCAAATATTTCTTTACAACAGAGTATAGAGGTTGATTTATTCTATAGCTTTTATGTTTATAATTTATACTTTTATGTTTATACCATGTTTCATTATAATTTTTATGTGAATACTTTTTTAAGCTCAAGATAATGGGGTTTTAAGCATAGAGATGTGCCTCACTTAATATTTACTTGTTTTGTGCTGTGTGCTCCTCATTCCCACCGTTCTGTAACTTGCGATGCAATACAGAAATTTCCCCGCTGTGGGACAAATAAAACTCTTAATCTTCACCCTCCAGCTCTGGTCCGGACCAAGAGCATCCACATCTGGACAGAGGCCCCTGTACTCTGTCTCCCACTGCTCCAGACAGAGGCCCCTGGTGTCATTCAGGACCACTTCTATTTGCAAAACTTTACAGCCAAGACTCAAACAAACAAAGTTAAAACCCCCTTTTATTTTATTTTTTTATAACTCTATAGAATGCAGCAGTGTTATTCATGTGATTCTGCGGCTGGGACCGGGACGGGACGAGCTTTCGCAGGTCTCCCCACAAAGAAGAAACAAAAAAAGAGTACATTTGAGTTTGCACAGGTTTGGTTTTGAGCGCAGCCACATGGAGCTGTGTGTACTTGGGGATAGGGGGGTATTCTCTCGGGGACGATTGCATGTTTGTCCTGGGACGGGGGCAGAGGGAGGGGCTGTTTGCAGGTCTCGTAACTGTTTTGGGGTGGTCCGGTTTGGTGTGGGGGGGTTGGCGTGGAGATAGGAGGGTCCACAGAGCAGCTTGGTGTATATTTTGGGTAGAGGTATAGACCAGATGCTTCCATGAGACTGAAGAGTAGAGTCAGGACGGTGCCGATGGAAGAGCCTCAGAGGCTTCATGCGGTAAGTGTTATTATTATTACTTTTATCATCTCAGGAAAGGCAAGATTAAATGTATAGCACAGGCAACTCAAAGATACAATCCTGGACTTTTCTTAAGCTGGATTTGAATATTTTCGGAGTAGAAGCCTGTCTCACATTTTCAGGAAGACTGTTCCAAATTTTAGCTGCATGAATCTGAAACGCTGCCTCTCCATGTTTAGTCCTGACTCTGGGCACCAGCAGGAGTCCAGTCCCTGTGCTCCTTAGAGTCCCAGCAGGAGTCCAGTCCCTGTGCTCCTCAGAGTCCCAGCAGGAGTCCAGTCCCTGTGCTCCTCAGAGTCCCAGCAGGAGACCAGTCCTTGTGCTCCTCAGAGTCCCAGCAGGAGTCCAGTCCCTGTGCTCCTCAGAGTCCCAGCAGGAGGCCATGTTCTGTTCTTGCTTGTGCTGCTAATCAATGAAGTGTTGGATTTTGTTTTTGAGTTGTTCCTTTGCCGATGCAGAAGGGTCTAAGGGCAGTGATGGTCCGGGGATTTAGGGACATATATTCACATTTCTGGACAGACGTAATCCTGCTCCTGTCCTGTCTGTTTGTTTTATTGCATTTGATTCTCTGATCTTTGTAAAGCCCCTCGATAGACTGCTGTACTTAATCAGGGCTGTACACTGAAAACTATAGAACTATATAAACACATGGGTCATTGCAGGTTTTTGATCTTCTGAAATCCATGGTCCTCATTCCTCAAGCGTTTGCTCACATACAAATACTTTGACCTTTATATAACTGTTATTAATGGCCCTAAAAGCATCCAGCATGAGCATGTTCCATTACTTACCCACTATTATTTAAAAAAAATTGCCTTAAAGTCGGAAAACTAGATATGATCCATTTAAGGATTGACTTATTTTGCGAAAGAAACGCCTTCGCAAACGTCTTAGCAACCGCCTTAGCAACCACTGTATCAGCTGCCATAGCAACCACCGTATCAACCGCCTCAGCAACTGCCTTAGCAACCGCCATGGCAACGCGTCTGCCCCTATAAAACAGTGCAAAGCTAAGGCAAAAAAATCCTGTATAAGAAAATAGACTCTAACTAGCAATTGGCCTCTTCGGCATTAAGGCTAACACTTTGGCTACATCCCACTACTAATACAAATGAATATAGCCAAACTTATGTCATATATTTTCCTTCAGATTACATCATGACCTGCTATTGTTGATATTTCTTGTGTCACATTCACCAACGTTTTCTTCTTTCCTTTCAGATACATCCAGATAATCTCTCCTGAGGTCTGTGCAGTGACCACACCCCAAACAACAAATGGAGATCAGCGAGTACATGTATGACGCGGACCTCTCTGCCCCCACTCCGCCTCCGTCCTTCCATCACTGCGACTACAGCGAATGGACTCTATCTTTCACCATCATCCCGGCTGTTTATTCGCTGGCCTTTCTCGTAGGCTGCCTCGGCAACGGACTCGTGCTCAGGGCGTACCTGGACCGACCCGACGGAAGAAAGAAAATACAAGAACAAAGCCATGTTGCAAAATTGTGCTGTTGTTTTGGTGTTTGCAGACGGGAAATCCAACGTGGTATCCCTCAAAGTAGCCTCCAATCCAGACCCATGTCCCAAACCTCTGCCAGCTCCAGTCCTCCATGTATCCCACGCCCGACACGGACACTAACCGAATCTCTCATCGCAAGTTTAGCCTTAGCAGATCTATGCTTTCTGGTCACTCTCCCACTATGGGCGGTCTACACAGCGTTGGGCTACCACTGGCCCTTTGGGCAAACTTTGTGCCAAACCAGCAGCTTTCTGACCGCTCTGAACATGTACGCAAGCGTTTTCAGTCTGAGCATGCTCAGTGTGGAGAGGTACTGGGTCCTAACCGGGCACAGACATTCGGGACACCAACAACAGAGATTTCCAACAAGAGCCGCTCTCATAATTGCCGGAGTTTGGATTGTGTCGTGTGTCCTGGCTCTTCCCGGTTTGCTGCTTCGTTCGGTTCAAGAAATTGAAATAGTCGCAGACGATTGGGAGGCTACAGTCCATCCAACTACCCAGGGGTCATATTTTCTCTCCTGTCAAATGGATTACTCGGCTCTACTCGAAGACGACTTAAGCGAGACTGAGCGAGAGCATTCCGAGATGTGGTGGGCTGCGATTCTAAGCTTAAAATCCACAGTGATCGGATTCCTTTTACCGCTTATTGTTCTGCTTATATGCTACTGCTCATTGGCCAATCTTCTCAGCAAGCATTTTGGAAGAGGTCCCCGTCCAGATCGCAAGCGCCAACGGAGACTTCTGAGAGTGATCGTAACGTTAGTCCTGGCTTTCTTCCTCTGCTGGTTGCCGTTGCATGTAAATAAGACCGTAGCTGTTTTATTGGAGTTTGGATTTATCCCTTACTCGTGCGCTCTAGATGCAACTTTGCTAACGCTGCAGCCGTATGTGACGTGCGTAGCGTACCTGAACTCCTGCCTGAACCCTCTTCTGTACGCTGCCTGTGACCCGGTGTTCAGGAAAAGGTGCAGAGGCCTTTTGCTCTTTCTCTGTGACGCCGGGAAAAGAGACGAGAAAACTGCTGCTGGAAAGGAAGGTGCTGAAGCAGGGAAAGAGGAGAAGACTCTTGACACGGCCGACAGAGCAGAGGAAGACCGGCTGGGTTAAAGCTGGGGTACCTGACGTCCAGACCAGACCACAGCCTGCAAAATCCATGTAACTGTTGAATGCTTCTCTCAAATGTTTTTTCATGCGTGTGTTTTTGGCCTCTATCACATCTGTAGATCAGCTTTTTCAGACAAAAAAGAGACAATGCCAGGACCACCCTCACTCAACCAATCAGCTCTCAGCTTGCAGTGACTCACAAGGCTCTTTCCTACAAGTATGAAAATATATAAAACATCCATCCATTTTCTTCTGCAGAGACATCCAGACTTCCCTCTCCACACACACTTCTCCAGCTCATCTGGGGGAATCCTGAGGCGTTCCCAGGCCAGCTGAGAGACACAGTCCCTCCAGCGTGTCCTGGGTCTTCCCCTGGTCTCTAAGGGAGACCACGGAGGAAACTCATGTGAACCGCTTGTATCCAAGAAAACATGTTCTCTCTCGTCCTTTCGGTCAAAAGAAAAGGACAAGAGAGATGTTTTGAGCATATTTAGGTCTGATTTTAACGTTTTCATTTTAAAAGACTTTTCTGTTCTATGTTTAAAAAGTTCCCCAGTGCCCAAACTTTAATTGTGCGATGATGGCATAGTTCACAAGGACAACATGTGTTATATAAAGTCAAACTATTTTCAGAATAAAAAATAAGCAGTGATTGAAACCGTATCTAATGCCATATACAGCGTGTGCCAGTTTCCCATGGACAGGACGACATCCTGTGAGAAGATGAGCTGATATGATGTGGTAATACAGTGTAAATATGGGTCTTTTTAATAAAATATACAGTGTGTCTTCAAGGTTTGCTTCATTTCTATTTTGAATGGCCAACGCTAACCCCCTGGATCAATGAAACCTACTAGGAAAGTGCTCACAGACAAAGTTTTGCCTTGCTCTGGCTCATATCGACTTACATTGAAAAGTAAGCTCCTCTAGCTCAGTAATTGTTTGTGTCACACTCAATATTTTGGTTAAGCGCTTCCTGTGATCTGGGGTTTGTTTTGTGATATTGTCTTTGTAAATCCAGATATAGCCATAAAAGGATTGACCAATCAGATGTCTTCGGTCACAGGGGAAACTCCAGCACACCTTAGCAACCATCATAGCAACACGTCTGTCCCTGTTACAGCACACTCTGTCAGTTCACATGATGAGAAAACTACAAATTGACACCAAACCTGGATCTGGGCACATATGACGACAGACAGAGAAAAGAGAATTGCTAAATATTATTGCACTCATTATTGCAGAACCGCACATTAACAGTTAGCAGTGTTCATTGTATAGTCTGACAGGACAATGACATGTACATTACAGATTTGTATTTGGAGAAATTCACTAAAATAAAGATACCACATACCATTTCAAATTAATGTTTTTATTTATGTGGGGTTCACTGGGTTTCTGCTGGGAGCTCCTCAGAGGTGAGGCTCTCTGCTGGGACCTCTGCTGGAACCTCTGGTGAGACCTCCGGTGGGACCTCCGGTGGGACCAAAGCCTCAGATTGGTTTAAGTGCCTGCGTGTTTGTGAGTCAGAGCATCTCTTCTGAGCCACAGAGGCTATAAAGGCCAGGCGAGCTTGGTGCTTGGTGATCTCCTGTAGTTTGCGGACCATCTGAGTGAACTGGAATCTGTTGTGATCCTCCACGGGGGGGTTGTCCCTTTCCATCTGATCCTTGAATCCCATCATGTACAACATTTTCTTTGCAGCCTGGAACTTAGCTTCCTTCTTAGTGCGACCCATCCCATGACAAGTCCTCTGGCCCACCCTGACCTCCATACAGAACTTTCCTGTGAAGACCTCTTTGAACTCAGCAGGTGAGTGCTTCCTCACCGCCAGGACCTCTGACAGGGCTGTGATGGGGTCTTTACCATGGAAAAAGAATGGCCGCTGTACAGGGTCCACCAGCTCCATGTGAGGCTTGGTCCAGTATGGAGTCACACCCTTTGGCAGAGGACGCTTCTTCAGCTGCTCCAACACCACTGTAGCTGCAGCTAACCTGGCCTTTTTTTTGGTAGAGCCTCTCCCGATGCCCATAAGGTCTCCTACTTGCAGCTTCATGGTGAAGGTGATGGCGTTGTCCGGTCCCTCCCGGCTCTCATAGAACAGAGGCTGCAGTTGGTGCACATTTGCCAGTTCATGAAGAACAGACAAGTCCGACTTGTGCACTTCGGTGGGCAAAGATGTTGTGTCCATAGTGTTAAAAAGTGCAGCAGTAATAATACTGTGTATGACCGTGTACTACTGTGTCCAGCGTCTGATATTTCAAATGATACGTCTGATATGTCGATACTTGTGATATTTCAAATGATGTGCCGGGGGTTTCCATGGCAACAATATCAACAGCAACAACAACAACAACAAATATTTCTACAGTGACAGTTCAAGCACGTGCACACTGGGGTACAGATGCCGATGAAACGAATAAAAGAATATTTAAATACACAGAGACAATATAAATCAAAGCACTGCCCAGTCTCGAACTCACAAAGATCCACTGACCAACTTTTAATTAGGCCCGAGCCCCAACCGGGGTAAGGGCCTATTGCTTTTCCAACGAGTAATGCCTGGGCGAAGCCCAGGCATTACTCGTTGAACTGTCATAAGTCACAATCTCCGGGCGCAGCCCGGAGATTGTGACCTGCACGCGACGGCACGTGCCCAAGCACTGATAAATCCGTGCCGGAGGCACGGAATGGCTTTGTTCCTGCTGTAGTACACAGTGACATGATAGAAGTCCTATTAAAGGGGGGTTCCTTCAACTGTTTTACGGACGAATGTCCGGGCGAAGCCCGGACATTCGTCCCCCAAGCCCGACGGCGCGTGCCCAGACACTGACAAAACAGTGCCGGAGGCACTGAATGGCTTTGCTCCTGCTGTAGTACACAGTGTAATGAATGGGGTCCTATGGGGGGGGTGGGTGACCTCATGATGGCGAGGTGATTGACGAGCGCGTCAGCGCTCGTCAATCACCGAGAACCCAATAGTTGCGTTCGTCTGGTCGTTCGCTTTAAAACGACGTATCATTTGTATTATAGGTTACTATGGAAACCTATATTGTTTTTGCTCGAAGATTTAAAAAAAAAATTCCTTGGTTTATTTATTTCTTTCTTTTTTCTTCTGCACTTTGAGCCTTAATTTGACCTCCTGAACATTGATGAAAAGTTGTGAAATTTTGCCCAAAATTCAGAACCGGTGAAAAATTAAATTTTTTGGTGTTTATTTTTATGGGACTAAAAAAATGTCAGAATAGCGCCCCCTACAAAAGTCCGTTTACATTGCGCCTATGGGAGGGGGTCGAAGGTCAAGTTTGTCGTAGAGCCACGAAATTTGGTACACATGTTCCTCAGGTCAAGACATGAAAAAAAAGTTATCATGGCTCCGCCCCCTGACAAACAGGAAGCTCATTAATTTAATTGTAAAATGGAAAAATGAAAATTGATCTTTTTCACACATGTCGGCTGGAAATTATCTCCTCCTCGGCCGTTTCACCGATTTCTCTCAAAATCGCTCCACATGATCTAAACCCATGTCCCATCTATTATTGAATATAGAATTTGGATCAGTTAAACGTTGTCCGAGCAGCGGAGCGGCAAAATGTGACATTTTTTTCCCAATTTTTGACAAAAGTAAATTTGCTCCCATTTGCACAAAAATAGTCAGATTTGCACCAAATTTTAATCCATTGTTCAGCTCCAGGGTCTAGGTCATCTGAAAGTGGAAATATTGAAATTGGCTCATTAGCGCCCCCTACAGACTATGTTAAAGTTTTACATGGGCTTTTTAAAATTTAGTTTTGTCAAAATGTTTGAAATTTTGCACATAATTCTGTTTTGTCATCTGGATTCAAAAAGTCAATGACAACATATGATTATTTTTTACCCTGTTGCCGTGGCGACGACCAACACTCCCCTGTCTGTGTCTATGAGAAAATCGTTAAATCTCTGAAAAGTACACCTCGCTCAAACATCAAACCAGCCTCGGCCGTTTCACTAATTTGTCTGAAAATCGCTCCACATGGTCTCCACACATGGACCATCAATAGTTGCATATAGAGTTTTAATTAGTCAAACGGTCTGAGCGTGACAGACCCCCAAAGTGTGGTCATTTTCATAGAGAGGTGTGAAGTTCCCATGTTATCCAATGGAGACTGTATGGACACACTCACAGATTGTATGGGCAAACAGGAGCACATTTACAAACTCTGATTTGCACTAAACTTGACTCGGTTGTTCAACTCCTGGGCCTAGGTCACATGACAGTGTGAACAATGACATTGGCCCATTAGCGCCCCCTACAGGCTGAGTAAAGGTTTACATGGGGATACAGGTATTTAGGTTTTGTGTTGTTTGATCTCATATTTGACCCACTTAACAAACACGAAAACTCACCAAACTTTGCCAAAAGTATTTTTCAGGCATAAAGTGTATGATTTTAGTGTTCTTTGGTATAAGACTAATACATTGAAATTGTAGGGGGCGCTGTTGTACAACATAAATGCCACCATTTGCACATACAAAGTCCGATTTGCACAAAATTTGAATTGATTGTTCAACTCTTGGGTTTGGGTCAACTGAAAGTGGGAATCATAAAATTGCAGCAATAGCGCCCCCTACAGACTGATTTAAGTGTTACATGGTGAAAATGAGGTATATCTTTTGAACAGAGACACACAATCACTAATCATAGAAAGTAAAATTACACAGTGTCGCTCCCGTCAGGGCAGTGGGAAAATGGCGCGTCAGCGCCACCTCCTTTGCGCGGTGCGGCGAGGGCCGTTAGATGCCGCTTGCGGCTTTAATTAGGCCCGAGCCCCAACCGGGGTAAGGGCCTATTGCTTTTCCAACGAGTAATGCCTGGGCGAAGCCCAGGCATTACTCGTTGAACTGTCATAAGTCACAATCTCCGGGCGCAGCCCGGAGATTGTGACCTGCACGCGACGGCACGTGCCCAAGCACTGATAAATCCGTGCCGGAGGCACGGAATGGCTTTGTTCCTGCTGTAGTACACAGTGAAATGATTGAAGTCCTATTAAAGGGGGGTTCCTTCAACTGTTTTATGGACGAATGTCCGGGCGAAGCCCGGACATTCGTCCCCCAAGCCCGACGGCGCGTGCCCAGACACTGACAAAACAGTGCCGGAGGCACTGAATGACTTTGCTCCTGCTGTAGTACACAGTGTAATGAATGGGGTCCTATGGGGGGGGGTGGGTGACCTCATGATGGCGAGGTGATTGACGAGCGCGTCAGCGCTCGTCAATCACCGAGAACCCAATAGTTGCGTTCGTCTGGTCGTTCGCTTTAAAACGACGTATCATTTGTATTATAGGTTACTATGGAAACCTATATTGTTTTTGCTCGAAGTTTAAAAAAAAAAATTCCTTGGTTTATCTTGGTCATCTGGATTCAAAAAGTCAATGACATCATATGGTTATTTTTTACCCTGTTGCCGTGGCGACGACCAACACTCCCCTGTCTGTGTCTATGAGAAAATCGTTAAATCTCTGAAAAGTACACCTTGCTCAAAAATCAAACCAGCCTCGGCCCTTTCACTAATTTGTCTGAAAATCGCTCCACATGGTCTCCACACATGGACCATCAATAGTTGCATATAGAGTTTTAATTAGTCAAACGGTCTGCGCGTGACAGACTCCCAAATTGTGGTCATTTTCATAGATAGGTGTGAAGGTCCCATGTTATCCAATGGAGACTGTATGGACACACTCACACATTGTATGTGCAAACAGGACCACATTTACAAACTCTGATTTGCACTAAACTTGACTCGGTTGTTCAACTCCTGGGCCTAGGTCACATGACAGTGTGAACAATGACATTGGCCCATTATCGCCCCCTACAGGCTGAGTAAAGGTTTACATGGGAATAACGGTATTTAGGTTTTCTGTTGTTTGATCTCATATTTGACCCACATAACAAACACAAAAAATCAACAAACTTTGCCACATGTTTTATTCTGGCATGAAATTTATTATTTTGGTGTTCTTTGGGATGAGACAAAAAATTGCAATTGTAGGGGGCGCTATTGTACAACATTAAATGCCACCATTTGCACATACAAGGTCCGATTTGCACAAAATTTGAAATGATTTTTCAACTCTTGGGTTTGGGTCAACTGAAAGTGGGAATCATGAAATTGCAGCAATAGCGCCCCCTACAGACTGATTTAAGTGTTACATGGGGAAAATGAGGTATATCTTTTGAATAGAGAAACACAATCACTAATCATAGGAAGTAAAAGTACACAGTGTCGCTCCCATCAGGGGGGTAGGAAAATGGCGCGTCAGCGCCACCTCCTTTGCGCGGTGCGGCGAGGGCCGTTAGATGCCGCTTGCGGCTTTAATTTATGTTGCTCCTGGACTGTATCTCATATTCCACTGAGACGAAGTGCGCATCACAAATATTCATATACAGAAAAAAACCCCACTTATTTCATATTATATATTATGCTTTTTCTACATTCGTTTAGAAAGTTTTTTTTTTCCCACAGACTGACGCATTCGTTCAGCATATGTAGGTGTTTATCTCACTTCTCACTTTTTATGAGGACTTTATTTTTATACGTTTAACATTTGTGTTGAAATTTAGTTTTAAAATCCCACGTGAGTGAAACATCTAATCACCCAGTCTATGAGCTAATCATGGGTTAATAATAACAACTAAACTACTAAACCATGGACCTATCCCAAACTACCCACGTTGTTGGCGTAACAACCATCTACGCTGTTAACGTAATTTTCCACTACGCACTTAACGTACTAACCAACTACGAATTCTACGCAATTAACGTAAAAACCATCTACGCTACTACCGTAATATCATCTATTCTACGCTACTACCGTAATACAACACAAAACACACCTGGTAAACGTTAGGCTGCTAGCTTGCCTTGAACCCGCTTCTAAAGCAGAGCATTAGCATCTGTCATCTCTGGGTACCATGGATCTATAATAATAACACTGCGTACACGTCATGGATCTGTAAGGTGCACGTATGTATGTCGCGTTGATGCTTTTTGTTTGCGTCACGTCACTTCTCAAAGCCCTGCTGCTGTTTGCTAAAGTGCAAAATGAACCCGGAGCCGAGGACTGCTCTGGTCTATGATGAGGAGATGACAAAGTACAAGCTGCTCTGGGTGGAGTAAGTGGGCTTCAGAGAGATACATGCGTCCATTCAGTGATTATTGAGCTGAAATGATGCATTATTCCTTCATTACTGTCTTTGCACTAGATACATAGCTACATGTTGAAATCATATATGTCTATACTTTTGTCAACTTGAACTTAGCTTAATTGAAATCAGAATATTTTTTATTGCCAGGAAGTCACATATTTGGAAATAAGTCAATAGTAGAGAAGTGGAGAATAGAGTAAGGCATAGTAAGAATTAACATACATTTCTAAGCTAAAGATATAGGCGTTTCTTATAGTATAGTATAGTATAAAGTTTGGATAACTTAATAACAGCAGTTTAGAAAAAAAAAAGTAAAACCATCATCAACAAATCCCTTTCAGTTTGTTCCTATTCTTTTGTCAAATCACAATCAAACTATGTCTCACAGTGACAAAAACTTTGGGACCATTGATTTTTTTTTTTCGAGTCTCATTTCCGACTTGAGCAGCATTCATTCCTATTTTACCGAGTGGGGAGTTAGAAATTCCGTGTTTCTGAGCTGGTTCTATGTGGCCACTAAGTGTTTTTGTTTTCCCAGCCCAGCGTGTAAGATCGAGGTCCCTGAACGCCTCACGGTCAGTCACGAGGCGTTGGTCACGTCAGGTCTGGCTCGTCGCTGTGTCTCTGTCTCTGTGCGAGAAGCAACGGATGAAGACATTCTACTGGTTCACAGGTTCAAAGACACTACACTGATTCCACCAGATTTGTTCTACTCTACTCTCTGCACTACTCTACTCTACTGTGCTCTACTCTTCTCTACTCTCTGCACTACTCTACTCTGCTCTACTCTACTCTACTCTACTCTACTCTACTCTACTCTACTCTGCTCTAGTCTACCTCTCCTCTCCTCTACTCTACTCGGCTTTACTCTACTTTACTCTACTCTACTCTACTCTACTCTCTGCACTACTCTACTCTACTCTCTGCACTACTCTACTATGCTCTACTCTACTCTACTCTCTGCACTACTCTACTGTGCTCTACTCTACTCTACTCTACTCTACTCTACTCTACTCTACTCTACCCTATTCTACTCTACTCTCTGCACTACTCTACTACTGTATTCCCTACCCTACCTTACCCTACTCTACTCTACTCTACTCTACACTGCTCTCCTCTCCTCTACTCTCTGCACTACTCTACTCTACTCTGCTCTGCTCTGCTCTAGTCTACCTCTCCTCTCCTCTACTCTACTCGCCTTTACTCTCCTCTCCTCTACTCTACTCGCCTTTACTCTCCTCTCCTCTACTCTACTCGCCTTTACTCTACTCTACTCTACTCTACTCTACTCTACTCGTAACCATGGCGTCCAGCAGTGCTGCTGTCAGTTAGAAGACTTCAGTACTAGCTCGGCCTGGATTACAGTATAATAGAGTATGGTAGAGCCGAGCCGAGCTGAGCCGAGCCCGCGCTGAGCCAAGCCAAGCCAGAAACTGTGCTTATGATATGAATGATGAATATCCTTTCTGTCACAGTGAGGAGTATCTGGAGGCAGTGAAACAGACGCCGCACATGACTCTGGAAGACCTGCAAACGTTTACACTACAATACGGGGACGTCTACTTCCACCCTGTACGTGCTGCAACCTACACACTCAATATTGTTATGTTTAAGAGAATATTCTGCCTATTTATTTAGTTTTTCTTTGGTAGAACATCTATCACTGCGCTAAACTGGCCTCAGGAGCCACTTTGCAGCTGGTGGACAGTGTACTGACCGGGACGGCGAGGAACGGGATGGCTTTGGTCAGGTCAGACTGCACAAAAACACAAGGACTTGAATTAGATTTATCCATAGACTGTGTATTAGGGGTGGATCAAGTGTGATGTCACCATAGTGTTAGCCTTAATGAGGAAGGAGCTGATTTGAACCTAAGCTAAGAGGAGACAATTTTGACAGCATTAGCATAGCATTTTAACTGGGGCAGATGGTTGCTAAGGCCAGCTGAAGTTTCCCACGTGAATGAAGGCATCTGATTGGTCAATTTTTATATGGCTCATATGTAGATTTCCGAAAGCTAATGATAAAGATTAACTTACTTACACCAGGATCACCGAGAGCAAACGCGTTTTTAAAGCCCAAAATAGTGAGTTTGTCAAGTTTACTTTTTCTTTGAATTATTTTATTCTGTATTTATGAGTTTTCATAGTTTATATAAAAGAAAATCCATTTAGAGAACAGGGAGCGACCAATTAATAAAATAAAATAGATAATTTATTTCTTTTTTACAGAAAAAAGATAATCAAAAACAGCATTTGTTTGAATTATTAGTATTAAATTGGGTCTCTTTGCATTGGTGTACGTTTCCAGAGCCAGAGCGAGTTGGAGCTAAATTTCGTCCATGAGCACTTCCCTATTGGGCTTCAATGATCTCCCACACAGCCTACAGATTAATCAGGAATGTTATATATGATTTGGATGTGTTGCTTTGTGAATCCAAATGGAAAAAATATATACGTATATGGTTAATAATTCAAATGTCTCCGTTTGTCCTCAGGCCTCCAGGACATCACAGTCTGCGAAGTGCTGCCAACGGTTTTTGTGTGTTCAACAATGTCTCAATAGCTGCAAAATACGCAAAGAAAAAATATGGCCTTAAAAGGTATTACTCTCTTAAAGCTGGGGTACTTAACTTTGAATGAATGAACAAAGGAATGAATTTCGAGCCATGGCAAACAAGAACAAAGAACTACAACAGAATAGAAAAAGAAACAATACATGATAAAACAGAATTATACAGTGTGTTTTGTTTTATTTACAAAAATCCAGCTCAAAAACGTTCATAAATAACACATGTCGTTTTTCCAACAGACAGTCATGTAAACGTGAATCGTTGTGAACAAATCGGACCTCAATGTACTGGCTTCCTTTTTTTCCAAAACATTTTATCTTTAGTGTAGCCCTAGGAGTCACTATTTTTGATGCTTTGGGCTGAGAGCTGATGGTTAAATCCGGTCTATTTTGACAATTAAATGTGTGTTCCATTCCTACCAAAACTCAAATGTCAAATTAATACTGTACGTTTATAAACCGTTCTGACAACTATTCACATAAACACTTCCTGTGTATTTCCCTGCACCTCCTTGTGTCTCTCTGCTGTTCACATAAACATACTGAAGCAGGAATGTGTGCTAAATCATCCACACATTGCACAATTCATACGCAAGGCAACTCAAAGTTCTGAACAAAACAAGATAGAAACAGTCACACAGCTGACTGCTCGTCCTCCCCAGGGGGCGCTCTAACTACATAAAAATGCATTCATTGGCCGCATCACGTTATCAGCCGCAGAGTTAGAAAAAACAAAAATTGTGGTTTGAAAGTTAGATACCCCAGCTTTAACATTCTGACACATTCAAGAATGATTTCCTGATTATCATGTTTGTGTGTAAGGATATTGATAGTCGACTGGGACGTGCATCATGGTCAAGGAGTACAATACTGCTTCGAGGAGGATCCAAGGTAAGCAGTTTCCCTCACTGTATCAGGGTTCACCTTTTGTGGCCCCGCTCTTTCTATTCATGTGAAGTATATACAACCTCATATAGCGTTTTGTGGCTTGTGTGCAGCTGTAGATAGATAGATGGACCTTTATTCATTCTCACAGGCACTGTCACATACATGCAGTAGAATGAGGAGGAAGGAAGTTACAATACACAGAAGATACACAGAAACACATAGAAAGAAACGCATGCAGGGCAGGACCATGGGCAAGATTACAGTTTGTTATATTGAGGTGTGAGGTCTGTGGGAGACTGATTTTGGATGCAGGGTGTGTGACTTTAGTGAGTTTTATTGTATTTATATGTGAGCATGTTGCAGTAACAGGGAGTACAGGAGGATACTGCAGCAGCGCTTCAGCAGTCGTGAGTTCAGGTGGTTAGAAAAGTGTTTAAAGTGTGTGGTGAAGGGTTTTACAGCCTTAAAATGTACAGCTGCGACTTCAAGACTTTTGCTTATTGTGGGACTGCTGTATTGTTTTCCTGTGTTTAATAAATGTAATAATAAAAAAATACTGTGTCCATTTCAGTGTGCTGTACTTCTCCTGGCACCGCTATGAGCATCAGAAGTTTTGGCCTAACCTAAAAGAGTCAGATTATGACTCTGTGGGCAAAGCACAAGGAGCTGGCTTCAATATAAATGTACCATGGAACAAGGTTGGGAGAAACCACAGAACTTGCCGGACTATCAGCTGCTGATTTAAAATGTCAAGTTTTTCAAGTTTCTGCCTTGCATCTTTCAGGTGGGCCTGGAGAACAGTGACTACCTTTCTGTTTTCCTACACATACTTCTGCCTGTTGCGTATGAAGTAAGAAATGTATAATTTCATTATTTAAATGGAAGATGCAACAGTAACAATGGCCTCATAAACGTTTTTTTCTAGTTTGGTCCTGAGCTGGTGTTGGTTTGTGCTGGGTTTGACACTGCCATCGGTGATCCAGAGGTGGCTATCCACACACTTATGTTCCTGACTTTAGTCTTTCTCTGGTCTGTCTCTGGTCTCTCACTCTGGTCTCTCTCTCTGGTCTCTCTCTGGTCTGTCTCTGGTCTCTCACTCTGGTCTCTCTCTCTGGTCTCTCTCTGGTCTCTCTCTGGTCTGTCTCTGGTCTGTCTCTGGTCTGTCTCTGGTCTGTCTCTGGTCTGTCTCTGGTCTGTCTCCGGTCTGTCTCTGGTCTGTCTCTGGTCTCTCTCTGGTCTGTCTCTGGTCTCTCTCTGGTCTCTCTCTGGTCTCTCTCTGGTCTCTCTCTGGTCTCTCTCTGGTCTGTCTCTGGTCTGTCTCTGGTCTGTCTCTGGTCTCTCTCTGGTCTCTCTCTGGTCTCTCTCTGGTCTCTCTCTGGTCTCTCTCTGGTCTGTCTCTGGTCTGTCTCTGGTCTGTCTCTGGTCTGTCTCTGGTCTGTCTCTGGTCTGTCTCTGGTCTGTCTCTGGTCTGTCTCTGGTCTGTCTCTGGTCTGTCTCTCTCTCTGGTCTCTCTCTGGTCTCTCTCTGGTCTCTCTCTGGTCTCTCTCTGGTCTCTCTCTAGTCTCTCTCTAGTCTGTCTCTGGTCTCTCTCTGGTCTCTCTCTGGTCTCTCTCTAGTCTGTCTCTGGTCTCTCTCTCTGGTCTCTCTCTCTGGTCTCTCTCTGGTCTGTCTCTCTGGTCTCTCTCTGGTCTGTCTCGGGTCTCTATGGTCTTTATCACTGGTTTCTCCCACTCTGGACTCTCTGTCTCTCTGGTCACTCTCTGGTCCCTCTCTGGTCTCTCCATCTGGTGTCTCCCTCGGGTCTCTCCCTTTGGTCTTTCTCTTTCTGGTCTCACCCTCTAGTCTCTCTCACGTTGGTCCTCTGGTCTCTCTCTGGTCTTTCCCTCTGGTCACTCTCTGGTCTCTCTCCCTTTGGTTTTGCTCCCTCTGGTCTTTTTCTCTCTCTCTGTCTCTCTCTCTCTGATTTGGAATGAATGTGCATGCTCAATAGAATAATGAAGGCTGATTTCAGGGTGAGATGTGTGCCACACCGGACGTCTTTGCCCACCTCACTCACCTGCTGATGAACCTCGCAGATGGAAAAGTGTGTGCGGTTTTAGAGGTTTGTATTTTGTGCGTTTCTTGTGTGTCTCCAAAACATGGTCAAAGAACCAAATCTCTGCCTGGCTCAGCTGTGTATTCATATCTATGTGTCTTATATTTACAGGGAGGTTATAATTTAAAATCACTCCCACAGTCTGTGTGTGAGACTGTGCAGACGCTGCTCGCAGATCCATTACCTCGACCTGTAAACCTGAGAGGCCCCTGCAAAAGGTGTGTTTCTCTCTGGTCTCTCTTTCTCCGGTCTCTCTCTGGCCTCTCTGGTCTCTCTCTGGCCTCTCTGGTCTCTCTCTGGTCTCTCTCTGGTCTCTCTCTGGTCTCTCTCTGGTCTCTCTCTGGTCTCTCTCTGGTCTCTCTCTGGCCTCTCTCTCTGGTCTCTCTCTGGCCTCTCTCTGGTCTCTCTCTGGCCTCTCTCTCTGGCCTCTCTCTCTGGTCTCTCTCTGGCCTCTCTCTGGTCTCTCTCTGGCCTCTCTCTCTGGTCTCTCTCTGGCCTCTCTCTGGTCTCTCTCTGGTCTCTCTCTGGCCTCTCTCTGGTCTCTGTAGTCTCTCTCTAGTCTCTCTCTCTAGTCTCTCTCTGGTCTCTCTCTGGTCTCTCTCTGGTCTCTCTCTCTGGTCTCTCTCTCTAGTCTCTCTCTCTGGTCTCTCTCTGTCCTCTCTCTAGTCTCTCTCTGGTCTCTCTCTCTGGTCTCTCTCTCTGGTCTCTCTCTCTAGTCTCTCTCTGGTCTCTCTCTGTCCTCTCTCTAGTCTCTCTCTGGTCTCTCTCTCTGGTCTCTCTCTCTAGTCTCTCTCTAGTCTCTCTCTGGTCTCTCTCTGGTCTCTTAAAATTGTGCGTTTCTTGTATTAGTTTTATTTATTCTGATTTATTTTCAAACAAACATTCTCCAGTGCTCTTGAGTCTCTTCACTGTGTCCGGGCCTCTCACCAAACTCACTGGTCCTGTCTACAGCACGCAGGTGATTATTCTTTTATTATATCTTTGTTTTTATTTTGAGCTCATTTAGAGAAATCTACACTATTTACACTAAAATAATAACATAATATAATGGTCTCTCACTATAACACAGTTAACCACCGTCTGGTCTCTGTCTCTCTGGTCTCTCTCTGGCCTTTCTCTTTCTTCCCGTCTCTCCCTTTCTTTTTGGTGTTTGTCTGTTCTCTCTGTCTGGTCACTCTCTGTTCCCAGTCTCTCTCTCTCTCTGGTCTCAGTCTCTCTTTCTCTCTCTCTCGCTCTCTCTCTGGTCTCAGTCTCTCTTTCTCTCTCTGTCTCTTTCTCTCTCTCTCTCTGGTCTCAGTCTCTCTCACTCTCTCTCTGGTCTCAGTCTCTCTGTCTCTTTCTCTCTCTCTCTCTGGTCTCAGTCTCTCTCACTCTCTCTCTGGTCTCAGTCTCTCTTTCGCTCTCTCTCTCTCTGGTCTCAGTTTCTTTCTCTACCTCTCTCTCTGGTCTCAGTCTCTCTCACTCTCTCTGTCTCTCTCTCTCTCTCGGGTCGCTCTTTCGGCTCTGTTACAATACACAATTTACTACTCTTTTCTCTTGACTCCCTTCCATCTCCTTCCAGCCGATCTTCCCTCTGAACTCAGCACCAAACGAGTCAAATTAGCAGAAGATGAAACTGTCGCGGTAAAGAACGACGAAGAGAAAGAGACGGAGGAGAAACAGAGGGAGGAGCTGACGTGGCCGGAGCCTCCCAAGCGCATCAGTCCTAAAGTCCGGACTGCTGCGGTGGTCCCTGAAGGCCTCACATGTCCAGAGGGCTGTCAGCGTTTCTGCCCACCCAAGGACCCGGACCCCCACGTCGTCAAACTGTTGGTAACATTAAAATTAGCCCGAGCTTCTCTCATTAAATAAATACTAAATTAAAGCTGGGATTCTTCACTTTCCAGCCACAACAAATTAACTATATACAGTAGTTTCTATCTATATTTTGCAGTGTAAAGGGTGAGGGTTTTACAGCCTTAAAACATACGGCTGCTACTTGACTACAATTTTCTCAAACTCAACAGCAACAAAACAGAACTCGTCCTCACCGGACCCAAATCCTTCCTCCCCTCTGCCCAGAACATCTCCCTCACCATCAATGGCCACTCTCTCACTTCCTACCCCTCTGTGGGCAACCTTGGTGTCATACTGGACTCCACCCTTACATTCATACCACACATAAACTATATCACCAAAACTTCCTTTTTCCACCTTCGCAACATGGCCCGTCTCCGCCCCTCCCTCACACAATCCACTGCAGACTTCCTCATCCACGCCTTCATCACCTCCAGACTCCTCTACGGGGTCCCTTCTACTCATCTCCAAAAACTGCAATACATCCTGAACTCTGCCGCCCGCCTGCTCACCCACACCCGCTCCAGAGACCACATCACCCCTGTCCTCAAACAACTCCACTGGCTCCCCGTTCCTTACCGCATGAAATACAAGGTCCTCCTTCTCACCTACAAGTCCCTCCATAACCTCGCCCCTTCTTACGTCACTGACCTCCTCCATCATCACTGTCCCACCCGCCGCCTCAGATCCTCACACTCCAACCTCCTCACTACCATCAGAACAGAACAAAACAAACCATGGGGGACCGAGCCTTTGCTGCAGCTGCCCCCACTCTCTGGAACTCACTCCCACCACACATTAGGAACTCACTACAGAAGCTCAAATCACTTCTCAAAACCCACCTGCTCAAAACTGCCTACACTTAACCGCTTATTTTTAGCTTTTTAATGACTTCTTCTGTAAAGTGTCCAAAAAAAGCGCTATATAAGTACAATTTATTATTATTATTACTTTCACGTATTGTATGCTGCTTTTCAGAATCTAACCCTGTGATAATCCAGGGACCATAACGATCCATTTAACTAGTTTTCACAGGTCTTGATTTTTGGCCTGGACTTAGATTTTACTGACAGAAAGGGTTAAAAGAGAGGACCAAAGAAATCATGTACACAAATTAGATGAAATACAACACGTTTTGGTCCGATTCGTTCATAATTTCACTATGTTTCACACACTGTTGTCAAAAAAGGTTGGGTACCCCAGCTTTAACGCCTCCTATTGAAATTTCTGAACATGCCTCATCAGTAGATTTTCCTTCTCCCTCATTGTTGTGTCTCTTGTTAGTATTTGTTTTTCATTCCCAGAGCGGAAAGTGGGGCCGAAGACACGGAGGACACAGGTGCTTTAACGCTCTCCAGTGTCACTGCTCTTTTGGACCAGATGGAGAGGAACGAGGTCAGCGCCTTCTTCCTCTCATTGTTTGTCTTGTAAAATAATGTGTGTCTGATTCTCTGAGTAGCAGTAGTAGCAACAGCAGCAGCAGCAGAAGTCATAGTACTAGGAGTAGCAGTTGTAGTAGTAGCAGCAGTAGGGGTGGTAGTATTAGTATCAGTAGCAGTAGTAGCAGTAGTAATAACAGTAGTAGTAGCGCTGGCAGCAGTAGGAGTAGCAATATTAGTAGTAGTAGTAGCAGTAGTAGTAACAGTAGCAGCAGCAGCAGCAGCAGCAGCAAAAGTAGTAGCAGTAGTAATCGTAGTAGTAGCAGTAGTAATCGTAGTAGTAGCAGTAGCCCCAGTGGCAGCAGCAGTAGGAGTAGTAGGAGTAGCAGCAGTAGTAGTAGCAGCAGTAGTAGTAGCAGTAGTAGTAGTAGCAGCAGTAGTAGTAGCAGTTGTAGTAGCAGTAGTAGTAGTAGTAGTAGCAGTTATAGTAGTAGTAGTAGCAGTTATAGTAGTAGTAGTAGCAGTTATAGTAGTAGTAGTAGTAGTAGCAGTTATAGTAGTAGTAGTAGTAGCAGTAGTAGTAGTAGCAGTAGTAGTAGTAGCAGCAGCAGTAGTAGTAGTAGTAGCAGTAGTAGCAGAAGTAGTAGTAGTAGTATCCCCAATGGCAGCAGCACTAGTAGAAACAGCAGTAGTAGTAGCAGCAGCAGTAGTAGTAGCAGTAGTAGTAGCAGTAGCACTAGTAGTAGCAGTAGTAGCAGTAGCCCCAATGGCAGCAGCACTAGTAGAAACAGTAGTAGTAGTAGCAGTAGTAGTAGAAACAGTAGTAGTATGAGTAGCAGCAGTAATTGCAGCTGCAGCAGCAGCAGCAGCAGCAGCAGCAGCAGCGGCCTGATGCGATTATGTGGTTAATGGTTTCAGATCCGCAGTGGCCTGGCTCTGGTCCCTGACGTCTCCATGGCGATGAGCGGTATCGCTGACCACGCTGCGAGAGCCTCCTGCAGCCGGTACCCAGTCCTGTCTCTTCACAATAATCCATAATCGTCTATAATGAACCTAAAAACGGTTAAATTCAGGGAAAAACATATATAAATGTCCGTTCTGTTTGATTGTAGCGTGTTGATAGTGGTTCTGAGTGATAAGCAGGAAAAAGTCTGGGCGACAGAGGATGGGTAAATACATTCCATTTTCTATGATTGTTTGTTCTTTTTGATTTGAAAAAGCTGAATTGTGTTGAAAATGTAACCCTGGATTTGTGTTTTCAGGAAAACTCTGCTTGTCCAGTTCAGCAGGACGAGTTTTGAGCCAGAGATGACCAAATATTACATCCCTGTGTGTTTGCAAAAGGTAACACACTGTAAAAAAATATGACAAAAATATAAGGCAATAATTCTGAACAACATTTGAACTCAAAAAGGAGTGGGAAGAAGAAAAGAAAATAGCACTTTGGCAAAATACTCAAAAAGATAAATTTGACTCTATTGTGATCCATTTTGATTGTACTAAAACCAGATTTTCCAACGGGACAAAGTCATTTAGTCTTATTTCCAGAAATGCTTTATTTTCTAATTCCAAGGGAGATATTTCTTTTATCTTTTTAAAACAAGATCCTTGTGCTTGGTCCCTATGGCAAATCCTGTTTTCAGGCAGTCAGACTGCTCAAATTAAGATACATTTTGCCAAATTTGACCAATTTCTTACTTTTTTCCCCTCACTTTTAGCATTGTGTGGGGCTATTACACAACACATCGTTGTGTGTAATTCCGTAACGATGTGTGTTTTGTGGCAGGGCTGCGGTGACGTCTCCGGCCTCATGCTCGCCGTGTTGACCCTTCTGTTGCCTCTGGGATACGAGTTCGACCCTGGTCTGGTCCTGTTGGTCCGATGTGCCGGCTGCGGCGTGAGTGAACAGGCGTGGCAGCAGCTGGTGGGCCTGGTGCAGGGCCTGGCTCAGGGGCACGCGCTGGTCCTACTGCAGGTGATACAACCGCAGTATAATTGTTGGTCCATATATCACCCAGCCCTCGTTTGTATGTGTGTGTGATATCCGTCATATTGTAGTGTGTGTGTGTACTCTGGCTTTCTACCGTCTGAAGAAATGTTGAGAAATGTCCTGCTGGTGCCCAGAGTCGGAGCTAGTTAAGGCGAGGCAGGATTCCAGACAGATGCACCAAAAATCTGGAACAATTTTCCAGAAGGAGTGAGACACTAATCCAGCCTTGTTCAAGTCTTGGCTGAAAACTGTTCTTTTTAGATCATCAGGTGTTTTTCTATACTGTTGATTTTGTGTGTGTGTGTCGGATCAGGACAATGACGAGTCGGCTGTAGCCTCCACGGCGTCTTCTCTCCTGGGACGTCCCGCTCCGTCCTTGGGGCCCCTCTCAGCTCGCAGCTCGACAGACGTCAAGGCCCTGGAAAAACTGAGAGTCCAGCTGCAGCGAGACTGGAAACTCCTGCAGACCGCAGGCGAGTGGTCAGAGACAGAGAGAGAGACAGAGAGACAGAGAGAGAGACAGAGAGAGAGACAGAGAGAGAGACAGAGAGAGAGACAGAGAGAGAGACCAGAGAGAGAGACCAGAGAGAGAGACCAGAGAGAGAGACCAGAGAGAGAGACCAGAGAGAGAGACCAGAGAGAGAGACCAGAGAGAGAGACCAGAGAGAGAGACCAGAGGGCGAGACCAGAGGGCGAGACCAGAGGGCGAGACCAGAGGGCGAGACCAGAGGGCGAGACCAGAGGGCGAGACCAGAGGGCGAGACCAGAGGGCGAGACCAGAGGGCGAGACCAGAGGGCGAGACCAGAGGGCGAGACCAGAGGGCGAGACCAGAGGGCGAGACCAGAGGGCGAGACCAGAGGGCGAGACCAGAGGGCGAGACCAGAGGGCGAGACCAGAGGGCGAGACAGAGAGAGAGACAGAGAGAGAGACAGAGAGAGAGACAGAGAGAGAGACAGAGCGAGAGACCCGAGAGAGAGTGGTTAGACTGAGGTCATGTGTTTGATCCCATCTGTTTCTGTTACAGTTTCTGAAGGAGAGAGCGGAGACGACGGCTGACACGGCTCACCACAAAACCATATTTTTCTATTCAACATTAAGACACAATTTTATGAGATTCTCAATAAAAGAAAAGTGAAAAGTTGTTTAAACAAATGTGTTTGCTTCATGCCTTCAATGCAGACCTTCAGACTGGAAAACAATAAATAAACAACATACACATAATATCCAAGGTTTAGACCCCAGGGAACTCTGGGAACTCCAGCTCCAATCTGTCTTAAATGCAAATGTCAGTATTTCTGCCGGGGTCTAATCTCCAAATCTTTTTTTTATTTTATTTTTTTGATCAAGTGTTTATTGTGAATGTAAATCTTAATGAAAATGTCGTTTTCTAGGGAATGAACATTTTCTGCTGGGGATAATTGTCACATCATGCAGCTATGGCTTTGTCTTTCCAGATTGAAGTATCAAAATATCTTTGTCCTTTTTATTCCATCTGCCTGTCTTTTGCGTCATTGAAAACTACTATATCATTTAGGACTATTTTAGGAAAAAGAGCCCTGTTCCAGCCTGAGTGTAAGTATTAGGGTGTTATTATCGGGCGGTGCGGCGGAAAGAAGGTCCAAAAGCTCTTTGTGACTGTCTGCAAAAGGCTCTATATAGATGATAATGACTTTAGCCCTGTTTCCACTGGTCTTATTCAACCTTTACTAGGTTCTTATCCCTCTTGGATCTGGTTCTATCCAGGCGAAGCTGGTACTGAAGTGTTCTAACTGACAGTGACTGGGCAGAATGCTGCTGAATTCCGAAATTTCCACACTGGGACAAATAAAGGATATCTTAATATTAATACCATAGTTACTGAGGGGTGGTCCTGGATTCTGGTTTGTTGTGGGTTTGGTTGCAAGGATACAAGTACCAGATACTAAAGTCTAGTGGAAACACAACCAGGTCCAGTAGAGTAGAGTAGATCTAGTGGAAAGGGGGCTTTACTCACGCATGATTTCACGCTTTTGGCTTATTGGCTGAGTGAGGGTGGTCCTTTATTTTTCATTTTTCTCTCTGAAAAAGATGTGACAGAGGTCAAACATAAATACAAATTTAAGCAAAATAGCTAAAAAAAACGAAGTGCTTTAAAGCTAGGAACTAAACAGGAGATTTGTGTTGACAGAGTACATTTTTTTGGCTTTTGATTTATAAAAAGTTATTACAAAAATGTCCACTGGGTGTCGCTGTTTCGCTGGTGCAGATCGCAGAGAGTGGACGCAAGCAGATGAAGCCAATCTCACCAAGTCAAACAGTAAAGTCTCACCTCTTCATTGATGCCCTGTGTGTCCAAACCCCCCAGACCCCTGTCCTCCTGCGGGCTCCTGCAGGGGGTGGGACCCTTTGGCACCGGCGCATGCATGGATGCCACCCAGTCCGGAGGGAGGGGTCTATGTTTCGGGTGATCATACAGTGAGACGCGGTGTGATTCCTCTTCTATCAAGCATGTCTGGCACTACATCTGGCCCCGCGAAGATGAAGAAAGACGAGTCATTCCTGGGCAAACTGGGAGGCACTCTGGCGCGTAAAAAGAAGTCCAAAGAAGGTACGTGTATCATACCATGGATTTATTTTGTGTTGGTTTTGGGATGTCCCCCTCTGTCCATGGTGCTGTAATCATATGATCCTCGCCTCCAGGACCTGTATCACAAGCGGGTGGATTGTGCCAAGACTTGTATATGTTGTTTATATGTTCATCATGAGTTGTCTGTGGGTTTGGGTCGAATCCCCAATCCCCACACAGCTTCTGTATATACACTGGTTATCATGAGGCGCGCGTATTTATAGTACAGTGACCACGTCAAGAATGCAGAGTTGGGAGAGATAAGGGATTCATGCAATGGGATTTGAGATTACACAGTAGCTATATTTGCTAATAATAGTTTGTTTCATCCCAAAGTTTGTAGATTTCATTTAATTTCATTTTTCCAGGCAATGGCAGAGACATGTTCAATGTAAACAAATACAGTCTAGTCATTTAGTGCACATATAGTCCAGTCATCTTTTTGGGTCTGAAGTTTCCTGGTTTTAGACTTTTCTCAAGAGTTGATTGGACACAGAAGTAGATGAGATGTTTGAACACATAGTAGTATGATGGCTCCCAGCAGTGCAGTCTTGGTTCTGTCACCTAAAGTGTAAGAATGTAATTGTGTGTCTTGTGACTGAGTGTGGAAGTATTTCTGTCCTGTTTGGAGATGGCCCAACCCAGTTTGGGACAGGGCAGAGTATAAAGCCTGTCTGGAGGGGACAGCTGCAACTTTAACACCCTGGTGTGTGTGTGTGTGTGTGTGTGTGTGTGTGTGTGTGTGTGTGTACACTGTTAAAGACCAACCATCAGAGCAAATAGACCTGTTTTTTCTTCTGTTAGCTGTTTTTTCCATATGGAGCTTAAAGCCATTGTAGTAAAGGCTGAAACACATTTTTTCATTCTTAAATTCATTCTTTGTCCATCTGTATGAGGCAGGGGTGTCCAAACCGTTTATTTAAAGGGCCACTTTACTTCATCAGACGTGACCTGGGACAGAAGACCTGGATTTAAAAACTGGATTTGAGCTGGATTGACTGAATTCTGGAATTTAAAATGGGTTATGATACGTCCTCATTGAGGACAACAACTGCATTTTATGTGGAATGTTGTGACACAATCATAAAGCAAATGACAGTAAATATCAATTGAGTCAACGACTGGATTCCAGAGGGTCTGTGAAGGTATAGCATGACTGTTGTGGTGGAGCTGAAGTTGGTTGGACGACGCTGTTAAAGAGCCTCAATGGTGACTTCATGTTAGCAGCAGAGGGCCATATAAAATGACACAGACAGCCGCAATTGTCCCGCTTGCCTGAGTTTGGACGTGCCTGGAATAAGGTCCATGTTTGCATTGTCCGTCTATAAACAGTGAATGTGGAAACTAGTGATAGAAGCAAACCATTTTTAAATTTTTCTATTTTTTAACATAGTTCAGATGCACTTTTAAAGATTTGTATCATGTGACATTTTCTTTCCACATCATGTTTTGGCCCCATCTCCCGGCCCCACAGTCACTGGTCTAACACGAGTCTCTTGATGATGCACCAGTGGATGGTCCATGTTTCCCTCTTTTCCTCTGTTCCGTCCTGTTGTTTCGGGATGAAAAGCTGACGACTTTGGGAACAGTTTTCCAAAACAAAGATGAAACATTATCAGGAAGGATGTGACTGTTATTGTGCCACTTACACGCTGTACACATCCTTTCTGAGGGATTGCAGCGCCCCCCTGTGGACAAAGGAAGTTCAGCTGGAGAGTTTCATACACATGTGGTGTTGGTGAAATATATCATCCATTGAGTTTTTCAAGTCAAATAATTGGAACTAGTTTTAGCTGATTTGTAATATTCAATTCAATGTATTTGTGTGTTGTCTTAAATCACAACAGCAGTCGTTTTGGAGGACGTCACAAAGTTGTCAATTCTCCAACAACAGATCAGAGACCACCAATGGTGTAGGTTTGGTTCCAATCTTGGTGGGGACATTCACTACGACCCGAGTCTACACCCATTGACACGGGGTTCAGAGTTTCTCCCCCAGAATTTGTTGTGTAATCACACACTATATTTGCAATAGTGTGTTGCCTTCTACACTAAACTCAGCTGTAGACTGAATGAGAAGCAGTTAAGGATTTTTTCTAATAGTTAAAACAAAATCAATTGGATCAGAGCTTCTGAGTTTTGTGTTGCGTTCATTCTAACTTTGTCCACAAGATGGCTTAAATGTTTATAGTAAATAAGATAGTAAATATATCCTGTATTCAGGATCAGGCTGATATGGTTTACAACATATCTCAAATATGCTGTCCCTGGCACTTTCTTGAGAGTGACTCTCATTGGCTGCCTCCTAAATAGCAAATACACTGTTATGAAACTTTAAAAAATCCCATATTTTATCTTCATAATTCCAGCCTCACCTGAAGCCCAGCTTCGATATCTGCCTGCACTACATCTTCCCTGAATACCTGAGTTCCCTATAATAAATAAAACACATGTAGTGCATTAAACAAATCAGATCTAAGCATATACAAAATAAAACCACCAACAAAACCAAATAAATACTTTCAACCTCACCTGAAGCCCTGAAGGTCCAGCCACTTCCTCATCCTCTACCAGCACTGCACATTCCCTGTTTGTCTGACTTTCCTTTATGGTATTAATAAAAACACACATTCTACATTGAATAAAATGAAACCTAGGCATGGTACACCAGTCGCTAAATATCTCATGAAACTAGAATTGGTTGTTGGGTCTAAGATTTTAACTGCTTAATCCTAACCTCACCTGGAGTCCTGTCTTGTCCTTGTCTTTATCTCCTTCTTGAATTTCCATTATATCTCTCAGAGTGTCCTATATTTAGTAAAAGATTTCAGACAACACTTTTTGCATAGGTAATTTCCAACCAAATGATGTTCTTTAACTTTAGTATGATTCTATACTGACTTAAACCTAATCCAAATCTACATAATAGCCCTCACCTGAGGCTCTAACAGTTCAGGAACTGCTCTCGATACTTGAAATAAATCATGCTCTGATCTTTCAATTTCCTATAATAAAGAAAAACAGAGGAGAAAATATTGAATTAGAATCTACAGTGAGTAGCTCACTACATTGTTTGACATATACGATCAATCTCTAAAAACAATTCATAGTCCCATGCATACCTACAAAATTCCAACCTCACCTGATGCACTGAAGGGCCTGTTGCTTCTACCTCAACATTCCCTATATTGTTCTCTCTTGGTGGTTGAGTTTCCTATGTATGTTAACAGAAGATTAATCATCACAATTCATAATTTGCTATTACTTGTGCTTTCTCTTACTTACTTTCCAACTGTTAAAAAAGCTCTTGATATCTTTTATCTTTTTTTGTGGAGGTGGCATTTTTTCTAAATTATATAAGAAGGTATAGACAATCAAAAACAGACATTCATATACATGAACTGCTGAATCATTTATATAACTTGGCCAATGTCAAAAGTTACATAGTATTTCTCAATACAATGAGTTAACAAGAGTTTGGCAATAAGTAACAGTGTGGATTTTTCTATATTTTCTTTTTTTTATTCTACTCTCAACCCAAAAAGGCAAGTAATGACTCACAGGGTTCTCAAGTATTCAAAATAAAAACTTAAATGACCTGTTGTGGTGTGTTTTGCGCACAACCAGCATGCATCGTTAACGCAATGGAAAATTTACGTATCCGAGCTTTAATTTCGGGAGCGCTGGTTGCGCTTTGGGAAGAGTCAGGGGAGAGACATGTCAGAGACACAGGGGAGAAACGGGGGAGATACGAGGGAGACCCGCACTTGCAACATGGTTCTGTCTGCATATGGTCCGAGCTCGGTACCATGTTAGAGCTGTGCTTTCACTGAGCGCCGCGGCTGTCATTACAAAGCGGCAGCAGCTGCACCAGGACGTGCACATTCGAGTGCATCGCTTGAATGTGCTTAGAGCAAATAACAGCAAGTGCCCGCTGTCACACATTTCACAGAAATTACATTATCAGCAGATAAAGGTTGTAAATCGTGGATCCGTGGAATATTTTCATCCCTAGTTTATCCTGATTCACACAACACACCCACTTATACATTTTGGATAGTAAGAGCACAATAAGTATTTTCTCAGCCTTTCAACCAACCTGTTTCTTTATTGGAGCCAGTTCTGTTCTGTCTCTGTGCCGTGTGAGCTCCTCGGAACATTAAACAGTGCGCTGACAGATTAGAAATAACGTAAGTACTTTGAATGGTAATAGATCTACAGTACTTTCCTCTGATTACTCACGTGCTACAACGCTCAGGGAACGAAAAAAAAAACACTTGCTTCACGCTGGCTAACTTTTAAAAATTAAACAGTCGCTCAGTGCTTCAGTTTGGCGCTGAAGAAGACAGCCAATCACTGCAGAGAACGGAACGGGTCACGTGCTGCTGCTGCTGCTGTTGCTCTGGAGGCGAGGAGGAGGCGCGACGTGTGCACAAACGGAAGACATGTGTCCCGGACTGTCCGGGTCACGGGACATCATGTCATTTTGGTGGGGACTTTTTAGTCTTCACCGAATATTGGTGGGGACATGTCCCCATGGTCCCCACGCAAACCTACGCCCTTGGAGACCACAGTCCATAAATGTCATGGATCATCACTGTCCTTAGACCCCAACTCAAAAAGAAGTAAGAAGCCATGAGGAGCCCCATATTGAGAGAGGGATCTGCTCCAACAGGCTGTAGATCCAGGACTGAGGCTGTAGATCCAGGACTGAGGCTGTAGATCCAGGACTGAGGCTGTAGACCCAGGACTGAGGCTGTAGATCCAGGACTGAGGCTGTAGATCCAAGACTGAGGCTGTAGATCCAGGACTGAGGCTGTAGACCCAGGACTGAGGCTGTAGATCCACGACTGAGGCTGTAGACCCACGACTGAGGCTGTAGATCCACGACTGAGGCTGTAGACCCACGACTGAGGCTGTAGATCCACGACTGAGGCTGTAGATCCACGACTGAGGCTGTAGATCCACGACTGAGGCTGTAG